GTTCGTCATTTGCTTCCTTGAAGACGATAAGACCCTCAGTCCCACACTTCATTCAATTGTACCTACACATAAAAGAAACTAGTGTAGAATAGAGCATCTGGCCTGGTGTCGAACCATGGATCAGTATGTAAATGAGTCGGACTCACTACTTGAAAAGAGTGACATCAAGTTCCCAAGTTAAGCCTCAACCCAGTCTCCGAAAGAAAGATTGAAACCGCGAGTAAGTGAGGCGGACTCCTCACTCGAACGGATAATCCAACCCCAAAGAACTAAAGTATATCAACCTTTTCAAGAAATGTGAACGTCAATTAAGTGACAAAATTGCTCGGAAAAGCGTGGCTCTAGGCCCCTAACAAGAGTTTAACTCGCCGCCCGAGGTTAGTAGTTCGAACCCGCAAGTATAGACTTTTAAACGGATGACTCGTCCCCCGAGGTTGGAGTGTGATGCACTAGGAAGAGGTAAGAGCACGCAAGAACCCACAAGAAGTCAAGAGTGTGAGGTATTAACATTTATATTGGAGCTTATTAATCACCACACCCATAATACATGACCCGGTGGCGCGAGTGTGTGTGCTCGGCCATTGTACGAGTGTGTGTGCTCGTCCGGTGTACGTGAGTGATCAGATTTCATAAGTCCATTTTTCAATGTTAATATTACACACGCTCAACAAGAGTTAAAGCAATTACACCACTTAAAATATTTTTTCAAATGTTTCAATTTATGATTTTTTTGTAATGTATCAAATATAGAGGATTTTTGGATACTTAGTTTTTTTGAATTGGGCTGAAAATTGAATGGGTTGCTGTGATGGACTGGGCCAATGATAGGCTCCCACCGTCTTTGTCTTGGTAGCACGTAATGTATGGGCCGAGAGTTGCGCTCAAGTAAATGCATTCAGGGTCCTTGGAGATGACTTTGGGCTGGAACCAAAGAGCAGCAGAGAGGGTGCGTCCGACAACGCTCTAGCTCTGAATCCTTCTGCTAGAGGGACTCCCGGCGGCCACGACCACGACTCACCTGCACTTGAACCGTCGTTTCCTTCCTGGTCCTTGAGTTGCGATGTCAACTGACGCGGAAGTGGAGCGAGCGGAAGTGAAGCAGGTGTCGTTACGAGAGAGGTGGCGAAGTCGGCACAAGAAGCTTTGTACTTCGCCGCTGGCCGCTGAACGCTCAACGCTGGGTTGGTGCGGACTGGTCGGAAAACCGCCAATCCGCAGGTCCGTTGTGGCGGAGTTGGTGCTTGGGGCGTCTGTAGATCCACCGTGGGTTCTCCAGGCTACAGATTCGTGGCGGAGCACGACCCTATGGTGACGTCGCCGGTGGTGGTTGGCCCGGTTCCAGATTCCGATTGCTTCTTTCGATGAGTCGTTCCAGACCAGATTCTTCTCTGAGATTTGTAATTGCAGATCTCATTTCTAGATTTCCCTTTTTTTAGAACAGTTTTTTGGCCATTTTTTTGTAATTGGGATGAATTTTTTGGATATTTTGGATGAATCTCACATGATTTTGCTCAAAGACAGTATTTTTCTCGATTCCCACGAAAGTGATATGAGAGACAATAACAACTCTCAATGAAAGCACCAATGTTGGTCCAAAATAGGACGCTCGTAGGCTTTTAGGAAAGCTACGTACGACACTCAAGCGGGAATCAATAAAGTAATATGAATAAGGAAAGTTGCAAAGGAATTTAGTTGCCAGAAATAGCATATAGAATTCGTCCCCTTAGTTTGAATTACAAAGTGCCTTTTATAGGCGTATACAATTCGTAACCGCTACCGATAATAATGACTAATCAATTACAACATTAATACGGAATTAAATACATAATTAATAGCGCATTAATTGCTTGACCGTTACTCTTCCGTGCTGGGAGGTCGGCCGGACTGGCTGGCTCCCCGCTGTGCTGGCAGACAGGCTCCAGGTTGTTGACTTGGATACAGGGGTCCAAGTTCGGGGCTTGGGCTGATTAGGCTCTGGGCCTAGTCCCATTACTCCATCAATACCCGACCGGGTAAGTCACCAAATCACTTTTTTAGCATGATTTCTTGCTCCCTTGCACCTTACTCTGGTCTTGTAAGATATCTTCCATGCTCCTTTGTTTTATTCAAGCTCAAAAACTTCTAAAACTAATAAAATACAATAAACTAGGAAAAATAAAGTATAACACCAAAAGTGTGTAATTTCCCAAACAACGATAAATAAAACTAGTTAAAATTACCATGATAAACAATAACAATTCTATACTATCAGATGGACCGAAAAGATAAAATGGGACAATCTTAGCAGGACGAAGGGAGTACTAAATACTAAGAATTGATTAAACAAACTAACAGTGCTAAACGATTAATAAATAGTTTTTTTAATAGTGATAAAACTAAACTGCATATTAAATCCCATGAAAACGACTAACTTGTATTCACAATAAAATCCACATATAGATATTCAAAACAAATCCACATATAATACAAAATGTTCTAGTGTGTTCTTGTGGTACACGCACTGATTTTAGAATGGCACACTAATGAAGCACTAACTTCATTATTATCTATCAAACAAATTACATAAATAAAGTATGAAGTATTAAATTTCAAAACTGGAATTTGTTGTCTTTATCCTTGAAGGCTCCAAGTAAACGATGCAGAAAATTGCATGATGAGGAATTAAAAATATTAAAAAAAAGATTATAAAATCTGAGTAAACTTGATATGAGCTTAGTAAACATGACCTTTGCATATGCAGCTTCTCTTTCTTATAATGTGTGACAGAATCAATGGATATGCTCCAAAACGTGCTTAGTCTATATCATCCTGCGAGTGAAAACAGTTTACCTCTAGTGCCCTGCATTTGGAAAGCCCCGATAGAGACAAATGTGAATCCATTTTAATTATTTCACAGGACTTTAACCAAGCTACGTGTCTAAATATATTTCAAGCTACTTGTATAAATGCAGATTGTGATATCATCTTCCCTAACAAATATTATGGGTATGAGAGAGTATGGTTAGGATTCATTGTTGATTAATAAAGAGGTCAAGTTTGTTTTATAAAAATTCAGTGTGATTGGATATAAAAAAACTACACCTGGAGAGTAAAACAAAAAGGTAGCAAACATATTACTCCCTCCGTTCCCAAAAATTCTTCCCGGTTTGACCCGGACCGCTTTTTAATGCAAGGCTAAAAAGCCTTTGACTTTCCAATTAAACCCTTGGAGGGTTGGCCGAAAAAGGGGAGGGGGTAAAAATAAAGTTACTCCTATGAAGAAGGATTAAATAAAGTGGGATTTGATAGATGTGATAAAAAAGGTGAATAGTACACCCCAAGCAAAAATTTGGGTTACAACTTCCCTCCTATTTTTGGAGGGACTTTCAAATGTTTTCTTCTACAAATAATCTCATTTCCCCATTGTTTCTCCCAACCTCCCATTACAACACTCAACACTTCACACACACGCACACAATAAATGTCACCATTTCTTCTTCCATAAATGGCAACTGCCATAAATGTTGATTCCCCTTCACCTTCCATTAATGCGCCTCTTTCATCTTCTTCACCAACCAACCTGCACACAATAACAAATGAGGGTGAGTCATCACAGCCCTCATACAAGCATTGATCAGGCCAATATGGTCAACACAAGACCCATACAAGCATTGGTCAGACCTATATGGTCATCACAACACCCATACAAGTAAAGCTCAGACCTATTTGGTCATCACAGCCCTCATACAAGCATTGATCAGGCCAATATGGTCAACACAAGACCCATACAAGCATTGGTCAGACCTATATGGTCATCACAGCACACAAACATTCCATAACCAGCCCACACATTTATCATTACCAATCAAACATCACACTTTCATTAAGCAGCCAACATTTTGTTCTTAACAAACAATTTCAGAAAAAAGAACCACCATATTTTCATCATTGCTTCCCCAAAACAAACACTGCACTACACACACAACGTATATGTAAGCCAAGGCAGACAACTAAGTGCACAACAATAGCCATACACGATGTCACACACAGACAAACAAGATAGAGGAGTCAAACATAGGAAAAGAGATTAAGAGAGTAACTCCCCTGATTGGCAAAGAAGTCATACATCCACGTCCCACATCCTAGATTCCTAGCCGGGTAGGATGAGCTTTAGGAACGCTTCTAGACGAGGACTTTTGCGTATTGGGTGCATTTCTACCTCTTTCCGCCTTTTCTCCTTAGCCTCTTCACTGTCCAGAACCAGATCCTGCTTGGCCCGGTTAACTTCCTCCTCCTTTTCACTGTCCGGAACCACTAGTTCCATCGGACCTTCATCGTCCCCATGCCATGCCTCTTCGGTTTCCAGAACCACAAGGTCCACCGAAGTTTTACCGTGGTCCACATCGAGGTCATCATCTGGCTCGACTTCACTATCCGGCACCATCAGGACGCCCATGCAAGCATAGTATGGACCTTGATCTTCACATAGGGTTTCAGAGCTCGATTTTAGATCCATGGAGGTCGAATGTTAGGTTTACGGATTTGAATCAAGAACAGACGATTAGATCAACAAAATAAGCTAGGGTTGTTGTGGATTTGGGTTTAGAGAAGGAGAGGAGGCGATGCATCGAAAACAGAGGGATTAGAGGATGAGGGGAGGCGGTGCAACGCAATTGTGACAGACAAGGAGAGAGGGGCTTTCATAATGCGAGAGAGAGAGAATGGAACATAGAAGTAGGGTAGAGTGTAAGTGAGGGTAGAGTGTAAGTGGGAAAGAGAAAAGTGAGGAGGGTAAATATTTTAAGGGGTAAGATAGGTTTTTTAGTAGTAGGAAGTTTCCTTATTTAGTAAGTGAGAAGTATTTTTGGGAACAGCCCAAAATGGAAAGTGGGAAGAATTTTTAGGAACGGAGGGAGTAGAAATTAGATTTTGCCTTTAAAATAATGAAGCACAAATGATCACATCCCTTAAAGAGACCATGTAAAACAGAATCATGATGACATACAGTGAAAAGTCTTAATTTGGTCAACAACAGGGAAGCATCTGGACATACAGTGAGCCGATCTATTAGCCTCCCTCAACACATGTTTGAATTAAATATCGAAGTCATCTTTCCAACTCCCAAAATCCTTCGCTAGACATCTCCAAATACCAACCAAACCTTTTCTATGAATCGCTTCAACCACAGTAAGAGAATCAATATCCGTCACAAAATCCCTGAAACCATTTTCTACCGCCCAGGAGACCGAGATATGAAGAGCTTCCATTTCGGTCTCAGCTACAGATTTCGCCCGAATAGAGAGCGAAAATCAGCTGCCGTGTTTGAGAACGCATTACTACACCGCCTGCAGAGCTATCAGAAGATACAATAGCATCAATATTCAGCTTAAGACCCACTGGTAAGCTCCATTTCACCATTTTAATCTTAGGTCTACCAAACCAGAAGTTTCTAGGGATTAGGTCTTCCTCCCGTAGAACTGAATAGCCTTTATTAGTCTTCATTTTCCTCAGAGTAGCTAACCAGTCCTGAGAGTAGAGGCGAATATGGTGAATAATGACCTTTGTGCTTGGAGGTTTGTCTAAATCTCCCCAAATCATTTTTGAGTATAACTTCCAAATGTGCCAAGATATTATTCCAGGTAAATTATGTTTGAACACATCCAAAATAGTTTTAGATCCAGCTTCAAGCCACCAGGATATTAGGATCTGTCTAATAGAAATCAAACCAGATGGAAAAGGAATTTCAAAGAATCCCATAAAATATCTCCAAATATCTGTTGTATAAGAGCACTAAAAAAGAACATGATTCATATTTTCAGAATCTTTTCTACAAAATGGGCATATAGTAGGGTATATAACCTGATTAAATCATCCCAGATTATCTGATAAGGGAAGAAACATATGTAGCAACTTCCATTGATTTTTTTTTATTTGAGTGGTTTGCTTCTTATGCCAGGAATGGATGAAGGAGAATGTCTCCCCTTTATGCCATCTAATTGCATCAAAGGCTGAGGAAAAAGAGAATGAACCGTTGCTACAAGGTAACCATGTAATTTGATCATTCTGGATAGAAGAAGTTAGGGACATCCCTTTACCATTGATAGCAACAATCCTCTTCCAAATAGCAGAGTCAGTACTCGTAATTGGCTTACTAAGACCCCTAGGGTATCTGGCATGACAAAAAGAGGCCCATAGAGATTCTTTGCATTTCCATTTCCACCACAATTTCAGGGAAAATGCTTTCTCAATGTCCGTTAAGGATCTAATACCAAGTCCTCCTTCATTAGTTGGTAAACAGATGTCCTTCCATCGCATCCAATTATTTTTAATCCTATTGTCCTTAGAACCCCATTGAAAATGTGCCATTTTCTTCTCAATAATTCTGATCACCGACTTAGGAAGAATATCCACCGCCAACATATGTAATGGAATAGTGTTAAGAACATGCTTGATCAGTACTAACCCGCCTCCCTGATTTAAATTCCTTTGCTTCCATGCAATAAGTTTCTTATCAAATGCTTGTATTATATGTGAACAAAATCTAACTCTGTTAATCCCTTTGTGCAAGATAGATCCAAGATACTTCACAGGAATATTTGTTTTATTCATGTCAAGCAGTCTCTCCATTTTCCTAATTCGAGCAAGGGAAGTGTTACCACACACAAAATTGCTTTTGCTGAAATTAATAGCCTGACCAGATGCATTTTGATAAAGATTCAAAAATTTCTTAAAGGAAAGTAGAGACCTTGCCTCTCCATTAAGAAATATAAGGATATCATCAGCAAAACATAAATGAGTTATGGAGAACCCATCTTTCCCAATCCAGTAGGGTCTTATAGTAACTGCTTTAGTCAGTTTCTTTAACCCTGAGGGTAGAGGCGAATATGGTGAATAATGACCTTTATGCTTGGAGGTTTGTCTAAATCTCCCCAAATCATTTTTGAGTATAACTTCCAAATGTGCCAGGATATGATTCTAGGTAAATTATGTTTGAACACATCCAAAATAGTTTTAGATCCAGCTTCAATCCACCAAGATATTAGGATCTGTCTAATAGAAATCGAACCAGATAGAAAAGGAATTTCAAAGACTCCCATAAAATATCTCCAAATATCTTTTGTATAAGAGCACTCAAAAAGAACATGATTCATATTTTCAGAATCTTTTCTACAAAATGGGAATATAGTAGGGTATATAACCTGATTAAATCGTCCCAGATTATCTGAAAAGGGAAGAAACTTATGTAGCAACTTCCATTGATTTTTTTTGATTTGAGTGGTTTGCTTCTTATGCCAGGAATGAATGAAGGAGAATGTCTCCCCGCCATCTAATTGCATCAAAGGCTGAGGAAAGAGAGAATGAACCATTGCTACAAGGTAACCATGTAATTTGATCATTCTGGCTAGAAGAAGTTAGGGACATCCCTTTACCATTGATAGCAACAATCCTCTTCCAAATAGCAGAGTCAGTACTCGTAACCGACTTACTAAGACCCCTAGGGTATCTGGCATGACAAAAAGAGGCCCATCGAGATTCTTTGCATTTCCATTTCCACCACAATTTCAGGGAAAAGGCTTTCTCAATGTCCGTTAAGGATCTAGTAACAATCCTCCTCCATTAGTTGGTAAACATGTGACACCGCACCCGAACACCCTTGAAATTCAAATTAAGTTTCAAAGTTTGTGTATTGAATTTCCCTATTTCCGGACAATTGTAAAATGAGTAATGTCTTACGCAATGCATGATTGATCATACTGTAGAAATTCCCTAAGAATTTCTCTAAGAATATGAAGGAGATTCGTAGTTTCCTTGGACAAGCGGGATACTATAGAAAATTCATGGAGAAATTCTCAGTTTTGGCATCACCATTGACGAAGCTCACTCGAAAAGGGGCTAAGTTCGTATGGGATGACCGATGTGAGAGGGGATTCTTAGAACTGAAGAAGAGGTTAACTGAGGCACCAGTACTCGCCTTACCAAAACAAGGTATGGGGTACGATGTCTTCAGCGATGCGAGCATCCAAGGGCTTGGATGTGTATTGATGCAGAATGGGAGCGTGATTGCCTACGCTTCACGATAGTTGAAGAAACACGAGGTAAATTATCCTACTCATGACTTAGAATTGGGAGCAGTGGTTTTTGCACTAACGTTATGGAGGCATTATCTCTACGGAGAGACATGTCACATATACACTGACCACAAGAGTTTGAAGTATGTGTTTACTCAGAAATAGGGGTGGGTTCGGTTCTTGCGGTTCGGTTTTGACCTAAAACCAAATATAGAATCAAAGTAAAAAGTTCGGTTCGGTTTCGGTTCGGTTCTACACTCTAAAACTTGGAACCACGGTTTAATTGGTTTGGTTTGTTTCGATTCGGTTTTGGTTTTTTCGGGTTTTTACCAAAAAATTATCATTTGATTTAAAAATGATATAATACTTTGAGGGATCAAACATATATTACATAAAGAATGTAAGCACACTACAACAAATAAAATAAAAATGAAAATAAATAAATATGTCATGAATTATATGAGTATGCGAGAGAGATAAAAGTATATATTACTAATTTACATTGTTTGTGACTAGTTCAAAAAAAGTTCATGAGTATATACGTTATATGTGATATAGTTGAGATAAATATTTATTGTTTCATCAATACGAATTCTTTAAGTTAAATAAAAATAAAAGTTAATTAATACTAATAACAAGTAAAAACATATTATCAGTATAGCTACATTATTACGTGCAATGAATGTGTAAATGAATTCACAAACTAAACTAAACACAACAAACATTATTTCTCTAGCACAAGAAAATCAAAAACTATTAATGATATTAGGATTAGTTAGGATTAATGCTTAACAATGGACAAATAAATTTTACTCCGTATATTTTAACTAGTTCGGTTTGTTCGGTTCAGTTCGGTTTTGAAGGGTAAAAACCAAAACCAAACCAAACAACTACGGTTCGATTCGGTTTTTTACATTCGGTTTCGGTTTGTTAGCAGTTCGGTTTTATTTGGCTACGGTTCGGTATGATTTGATTCGGTTTTCGGTTTTCGGTTTTTCGGACCCAGCCCTACTCAGAAAGAGTTAAACATGAGACAACGACGGTGGATGGAGTTGATAAAGGACTACCACCTAGTAATCGATTACCATTCGGAGAAAGCAAATGTTGTGGCCGATGCCCTTAGTTGGAAGAGTTCATCGGGGCATTGATAACCAATTTGAGAGCATTGAGAACTCAATTGGAAGTATCTACTAATGGCGCCTTGGTGGAGAGATTTGAGGTGAGACCTACCCTACTTGATGAGATCAAGAAGGGACATGAACTAGATGATGAGCGGGACCGGTAGAGGATTTCCGTGAGAGAGACGAAGGTCTCTTGCTATTCCGTGATCGAGTGTTTGTACCATCGAATGATGAGCTCCGAAAGTCCATTCTAGAGGAGGCTCATTCATCGGCGTATGCTATGCACCCGGGAGGCACGAAGCTGTACATGGATCTGAAAGAAACCTACTGGTGGTCTGGTATGAAGAGGGAAATATCAGAGTACATCAGTCGGTGCCTTACTTGTCAGCAAGTTAAGGCAGAACATCACCATCCAGATGGCTTATTACAGCAACTTTCCATCCCTGAATGGAAGTGGGAACATGTGACTATGGATTTCGTGGTAAGCTTACCATGGACGATCAAGAACTATGACGCAGTTTGGGTTGTTGTTGATAGGCTCACGAAGAGTGCACACTTTTTACCTATCAACACCACCTACCCACTCGAGAGGTTAGCAAAATTATATACGGACGAGATCGTGAGGTTACATGGTGTTCCTGTGACCATTGTGTCCGATAGAGACCCACGATTCACATCGCGTTTTTGGCCTAAATTTCAAGAGTCTATGGGAACGAAGTTGAAGTTCAGTACTGCATTCCATCCACAGACGGATGGGCAGTCTGAAGGGGTTATACAGACCTTAGAAGATATACTGATGGCCTGTGCATCGGAGTTCCAAGGAAGTTGGGACAATCACTTAGCACTTGTGGAGTTTGCCTATAACAACAGTTATCAGGCAAGTATCGGCATGCCTCCATACGAAACATTGTATGGGAGGAGGTGTCGTACACCGTTATGCTGGGATGAGGTTGGCATGGCCAAACTCGAGGGCACTGAGTTTGTTGAAATCACCAAGTCAAAGGTGAAGTTGACTCGAGAGAGACTCAAAACGGCTCAGGATAGACAGAAGAGTTATGCAGATAAGCGACGGAGAACCTTAGAGTTTAAGGTTGATGACGAGGTATTTATGAAAGTTTCTCCTTGGAAGGGAATCATTCGATTCCAAAGCCGATGGAAGCTTAATCCACGCTACATAGGGTCATTTAGAATTCTAGAGAGAAATGGGGTCGTAGCATATCGTCTACAGTTGTCTCCTGAGCTAGAAAAAATACATAATGTATTCCACGTATCTATGCTTAAGAAGTACGTACATGATCCTTCTCACGCGTTGGAAAAGCCGCCCGTGGAGGTACGCGAGGATTTGAACTGCGCCGTACAACCGGTCAAGATCACCGACAGAAAAGTAAGGAAATTGAGGAGTAAAGAAGTTTCAATGGTTGAAGTCCTTTGGAAAAGTGATCGAGTTGAAGAAGAGACTTGGGAAACGGAAGCTTTGATGAGGGAGCAATACGCTTTCCTATTTGAGTAGCATTGTGAATTTCGGGGACGAAATTCCTGTTAAGGGGGGGGGGGTGAACCTATGACACCGCACCGGAACGCCCTTGAAATTCAAATTAAATTTCAAAGTTTGTGTATTGAATTTCCCTATTTCCGAACAATTGTAAAACGAGTAATGTCTTACGCAATGCATGATTGATCATACTGTCGTTTGAGCTCGTATAATAGTATTGGGCTTTCAAATACTTAATTGGGCCGTCTTATTGGATAAAGAGGCCCAACATTATTTATATAAAGATATATAACCCTTCGATATAAAGTAAAGAGAGTCGGGCAGCCCAATAATTATTTTGGGTCTAACTTGCTAAAAATAGTAAGTATTCCAGAAAGACGTCCTAGGCCCACTCGAGGATGGTCCACACGGCTTGTAGCCCAGGAATACAAATTCTAATGTCATAAATAAGTGATAGGATGATTAGAGAAGAATACAAATGTTTATGATCCCATCTTTGACATGATTGAGTTAAATAATGGGAGTAGGTTTTTCTTCTATAATATTCATCATGTAAATTATCGGGATGATCCTATACATATTGGAGATTAATAATATGATGTAGGGAGTTGACTTGGTCGATATAAAGTGTAGTGAGTACAAAGAAAAATCTCATGACACAGACAAAACTTTAGGACTCATCTTTCCATCTTTGGAAGTATTGATAGATATTTGGACCCCAAATTAATTGGGATCACTTGGAAACCACCCCACACCTTATTAGCACATGAAAAATAAAGAGAATAAGTTAGAAAACTTATTTGGGTCGGACATAATAGACTTGGGGGCTGCACATGACAAAAGAGATCAAATGTGAGATCCACCCATGTCTAAAATATCTCATGGAGTCCATATCAATCCTTTTCACTCCACACAACATATATAACTTATTTGAGGGGTCTTATACACTCCCCCTCACCCGTATTCGACCTCTAGAAGATAAGAGCAAGCTGCCCGCAGGTTTATTCTTCAGTGCGTCCCACCACCATTTCAGGTTGAGGCTAGAGCTTGCTACCTGTGCTCGTTGCTCGGGTGATCATCTTGGAGAGAAGACTTGGTTCGTGCTTCCTCCATTCTGTTTTTTGAACATTTATAAACATGTTCATGGATATTTTTCACTATAGAGCATGTGTGCTCATGTTTACCCCGTGTGACATTTGTTTTCAAACCATGTTTTCCGATGCGTATTGAATTGCTTATTATGTATGTTTATGGATGACTTATGTGTGAATGATATTTGAGACGCCTTGTATAATATGGATGTGTTAGATTGTGGTTGACTATTCGTATTGTACGGCGGGTTGTTGACGTGTCCGGATAGGTCCGGGGCATGACAAAACAGATGTCCGGATAGCTACTGCAGATGTTTTTGCTTGAGTTCCTGTATTTCGAGTTGGTGCTGGGCTGAATCTGTGTTGACGGTATCTGCTCGTCAGCTGGAGGCGGTGGTCAGTTCGCTCTGGCACTGTTCATCGTCGCAGATTTGGCTTTGAGTTGGTGTTGGGATTCTTTTTTCCTGCGATTTTGGGGAAAATTAAGGGAAGGGTGATATGGCCGGAAAGAAGCAGGGGAAGGGTGTGCAAACTCCCTCTGTGAACACCAGATCTAGAACATCTTCTGGTTTTAATGTATTGGAAGGTTTGGACGCTAACTTCCCTACCCTTCACGCTGGGAAGCAGGTGTCGGGAAACCTGCCAGCTTCTGCGAATGCTCCTGAGGAATCTGTTGTGTCATCTTCTGCCATTGAAGAGGTTATCACTGTTACTCCAAAGTCAGCTGGAAAGCATGGAACTGGGACTGCTGAGAAGCAGCCCACTGCTGGAAAGCAGGGAACTGGGACTGCAGAGAAGCAGCCCACTGCATATGCCCTTGCTGCTGGTATAAATGCTGGAGCTTTTATTGATGATACTGCTAAGGTAGTAAATGTTGCTGGAAGTAAGGAACCGGTAGTAGTTACCCCTAAACCCTTGGCAGTAAAGGCAGCAACTCATGCACCTTGGAGTGCTTTGTTTAAGGACAATCGTGACCCAATGCATGGAATCAAATTGAGATTTATCCCTCCCAAAGGAGATACCTTGGACTTTGGGGATCGTATATTGCCTTCCATGGTTGAAATGTGGGGCTATTGCCTAGTTGGACACTTCACCGGAAATTTCCCCGGACTTAAAGCGGTTCATGATCTTAAAGCTAAATGGGGTGTCAAATGCCTTGTGAGTTCCCACAAAAAGGGTTGGTTGATTTTTAAATTTCAAAGTGAGGAGGGTAGAGAAAAGGTACTACATGGAGGACCGTACACGGTGTTTGGGAAACTCCTAATGCTCAAGGAACTATCGGAAAATTTTTCATTTGAAGATGAGGAATTTCTTAAAGTTCCAATTTGAGTCAAGTTCCATGATCTCCCTTTGCAATTGTGGAATGATGAGGCCATGAGTGAGGTGGCATTCATGGTGGGGGTTCCAATAACTACTGATAAAATCACCCAAGAGAGGATTAATAACGACTATGCTAGGGTGTTGATAAAGGTTGATGTCTCAAAGCCAGCACCACTTTCGTTTCCTATACGACTACCTTCCCAAAAGGTATACAAACAAAGTATGGTTTATGAAACTTTTTCTAAATATTGCTTTCATTGTAAAGAATTTGGGCACCACCCATTTATTTGCAAGATGTTAGCTAAACGGGGTGTTGAGGGGAATTATGAAAAGGGAAAACAGGTTGTTGAATGCATTGAAAACACTGACAATATTGGGAAGACTGGATCGAGCTTCATTCTGCCTGCAGATTCTGTCCAGGCGCCAAACTCAACCGGATGCCCTCCTAGCCCGACCGGGTCCAAGCTGAAAGGTGCCCAGCAGAAGGAAAACCCGACCGGGCCTACTCCTAACCCGACCGGGTTGCTGCGACAGACTGCTTCCAAGGCTCCTGGTGATACTCCCGAGGGGGCGCCATTTGTCCAAGGGTCCTCCGAACATGCGCAAAAGGTTATTAGCTCAAATGAGGACCCACAGGCCATTTTGTAAGATACGGAGAGGGTAAATACGAATGCGAATGAGTTGCACCAATATGATGTTGTTATCAAATGTGAGGTAATAAATGGTAAGACACTCAAGTTGGTTATCAAACCATTTATATTTGTGCAGACTAATGTGATTAGAGTGGATACTTCTCTCTGACTTACGGATGATTTGGATAGAAAGGGTCTAAGTTTCCCCACCGAATGCCTTGAGGGTCTACCGGGAGTTAGTAAGAAGATGGAGGAGGTTTGCTTTGACTCAAAGTTCATTACTCCTTTCTGGTATTTCTTTGGACGTTGTTGACGTAGTGTTGTAAGATTGTTTCTGTTCCTTTTTTTGGTTGGGTCCAAAATGTGATTTTATGAGATTCTGAGTCTTGATTTTGTGGTATCCCATGTATCGGGGTATGCACTTTGATTGTACGCATGATGCATTGTACTATGCTATTTTTCTGGATATATATACATTTACATTTTATCCGAAAAAGGAAAGAGATCGATGGAAGAGAGATGGAGAGAAATGGAAAGAAATCGAAAGAGAATTAAGAAAAGGAGTTTTAGACTGAGAAGAAGAGAAGCAGAGAAATATGAAGTAGAGAGAAAAAGAAGAGCATATCTCTCCTCCTGTGAGGTGATGTTCAATCTGGGATGGGGACCGGGGAGGTGAACAGGTGCTGAGGTTAGATATCATCGTGGGTGGGCTGCGGCGATGTGGCACGGCGAAGCGGTGCGGCGAGGTGCGACAAGATGTGGCGATGGAGGCAAGGTGTGTCGATGTTGTGATGCGAGGTGGGCTGAAGATGCAGGAGTGATGAGTGGTAAATGAATTTTCTCCTATGAGAACGGGTTTAGAGAAATGAAACGTAGGTAACCGTTTCATGAAGTAAATGCCGCAGTGAATGAGGAGGGAGAGAAGCGGGAAACCAATTTGGGAGGGGGGATTCTGCTTTTAGGTATATAGGATTCATTTCAATTAATCCTCATCAAGCGACAAATCGGCAAATTATAGCATTCCAACAGTTTTTGTACTCCTTAAATCATCTTTACTAATGTTTCATATCTTGTGGTAGCTTGAGCGGATACTAAATTTTCATCATATCATGTATGAAATCGGGGTTATAGAGTTAGATACGCGTACTGGTTCATGGATACGGGTATCGGAATTGAAGTATCTATAGTTTTAAAAATAAGTCCAATACTTTTATATATTAAATTACTGATACGAATTCAATACATACATGACGTGTATCAGTGAGTATCGGTATCAGATACGTATAAGATAAGCGGATACAGCATCGGGGTGAAGTATCGATGCACCATAGTATAGTAGTACAACATAGTACTCCCCTTCCTTTCCAAATTGATTTACAGTCAACATTTTTTAATAGACCAGTGTTAAAAATTGTAATAATTAAAATTTACACTAAAATCTCTTTAAAGTTGCAAAAATCCAAATTAGAGTATAATTAAAAATTGACATCTGAATTAAGTGAATAAGATGAAATTTTTTGACAAAAAAGTCAATTTTGCAAATCACCCTTGATCTCTTCCCTTGTTAATTAACAACAGTTCTCGCCCACGATCACCAACAGTCTATTTCTATCATGGACGTTTGTACTATGGGCAGTGATTCTAGGCCTCCTAGTCTGAGGAGAGGTGAATTTACTGTCTGGAAAGCCAGGTCCCTCAATTTCATCCGTAGCAGAGACAATGATCGAAATATCCTCACATCTTTTAATGAATGACCGATTGAATATTGGGTTGATCTTTCAGGTGATCCAACAAATAATTCTCCAACACTTATAAAGAGAGTACATAAGAATGAAGATGATTATTCTAAAGCTGAAAAGCTTAGATCTAAAGTTGTCTCTCACCGGAAAACTCCAACTGCAACTCGGTGACTACTCGCCTCTGATGATGTCGGCTCCTTCATCTTCGTGCATGGTAAGTCGGATTATCCTCTTGGATATCCGCTCAGGTAAATTGACTTGAAACACCCTAGGTGCACCCGGGTGCCTCCGGATTTTACTTTAGTCCCTTTCCCTGCGCGACCGTTGGTTGATTTTATCCTGACCGCCATCACCCAAGTATGTCGGCTGGATCTCTTTATTGTCTGTGTTGATCTGTCTGTTGCATGTTTAGATTTGTTCTATCTTTGAGTTGTTTACTGCCTGTGTGTGCTTAGTTAATTGTGGGGTAGACGGTTGGGGTCGTGTTCTCTCTGAGAGTTGTTTGATTCCCTGTGGTCTGTCTGTCTGCGGGTAACCTAAGGAGTCAATCCCATTTTGGCTAAGGCACGTGGTGTTAGGGCTAGGGGATACCCTGTCAGCCACTCTAGTGGCCTCGGATCTGCGTGGTCCTCTAGCCTGCTGCCTAAACCTTTCTAGGGTTTTTACTTGAGCTTACTTGTTCGACTTATCCATAGGTTTCTGTTTAAGTGCCATGTCTGCTAATCAATGTGGAATGTTTCCTTTTAATGGGAAAAACTCATTTTGATATCTGGAAACAAAAGATTAAATGTGTTTTAATTCAGCAAAAACTTTTCATAACTGTCACTGGCAAATTTTTGGAAACAGAAAATGAGGCTAAACAACATGAAATGAATGAAACTGCCTGTTCCACTATTTACTTAAATCTTTCTGACTCTGTGTTAAGGAAAGTTGGTATACTTGACTCTGCCAAAGAGTTATGGGAAAAACTTGATGGTTTGTATACTGATACTTCCTTATCTGACAAACTATTTTTACTTGAAAAGTTTCTCCAGTTCAGGCTTGACCTTACCAGGGATATAAATGAAAATTTGGATATTTTTAACAAACTTATTCAAAGTATCAAACAGGCTGGTGACTAGCAAATTGATGACTATACCCCAATTACTTTGCTTAATGTCATCTCCGATTCTTATATTGATGTCAAATCTGCCATCAAATATGGCAGAGATAATGTCACTCTGGATATTGTGGTAAATGGTCTGAAAAGTAAAGAACTTGATTTGAAACAAAATGGGGTCATGGCAATCGGTCTAGGGATTCTGGCGAGGCCTTGTATGTGAGGGGTAGATCTAAGAGTGGGTCTAAGAACCCCAAGAAGGAAAATCAAAATAGGAATAGTCAGAAGCCTGGTAAGAAGAGAAGTAAGTCTAAAAAGAGGGTTTGTTATAATTGTGGGAAACCTGACCATTTCATAAAGGACTGCCTTAGTCCCAAGAAGTCTGACCAAGCCAACTCCGTTGTTTCTCATTATGTGAATGATGATGTGTTTATGGTTTATGACTTTGCAAACTTTGTGTTAAGTGGCTTAACTGAAAATGAATGGCTTATTGACTCTGACTGCACTTATCATATGACTCCTTTTAAATCCCTATTTTCTTCTGAGGATCTTTGTGATGATGGTTATGTGTCTTAGTAGATAGTACGAAATGCAAGGTGCATGGGGTGGGGAATATATGTTTGAAGTTTGATAATGGGAATATGTGCACTGTGAAAATGTGAGACATGTTCCAGATATGTGTCATAATTTGTGTTGAGGTTTATTCCGTCAACCCGTAGGCCCAACACACGACCCAAGGTTTGAAAGGAAGAAATAAAGATGTAGATGCAGAAAAAAGCAAGATATGGCCCAGTTAGAGGTCTTAATACATTAATCCCGGTATAAAGGCTTGAGGTCGTTCATCCCTAGCATATGCTACGGGTTGTTAAAATGCTATACTATTAGAGTGCTTAGTTGCCAACCCCTTACAATTAAATAAATGCTTCTATTTACACTGCCAATGGGTAGTTGGATGCATTGACGTGGCGGACTGTGGATCGCTTGACCCCAACCACCAAATCTTCTGCATTAAATGCGCTTCCCGTCAGGATCTTGGCTTCCCGTCAAGGGGTGGGGACGTTCATCCCCATGAGCTTGCCTCCTGTTTCCTACTGGGACCTTGGCTTCCCGCCAAGGGGTGGGGATGTTCATCCCCATGATCTTGCCTCCTGTTCCCTGTTGGGATCTTGGCTTCCCACCAAGGAGTTGGGACATTCGTCCCCATGAGCTTGCCTCCTGTTCCCTGCTGGGATCTTGGCTTCCCGCCAAGGGTGGGGACGTTCGTCCCCATGATCTTGCCTCCCGTTTCCTGCTGGGACCTTGTCTTCCCGCCAAGGGGTGGGGACGTTCGTCCCCATGAGCTTGCCTCCTGTTTCCTGTTGGGACCTTGGCTTCCCGCCAAGGGGTGTGGACATTCATCCCCATGATCTTGCCTCTTGTTCCCTGTTGAGACCTTGGCTTCCCGCCAAGGAGTTGGGACGTTCGTCCCTATGAGCTTGCCTCCTGTTCCATGATGGGATCTTGGCTTCCCGCCAAGGGTGGGGACGTTCGTCCCCTTAGTGTCCTGTGCTGCTCCTGGGCAAAGGTACTTGCTTACGCCAGAATATGTACGTCCCCTGGGCCTCGGTGTTGGGGCTTGGCCCCACTGGGGACGAACCTCGTCAGGATAATGGGGGGTTAACCCGTTGTCTTGGTCCTTCTGGGGACGTTTGTAAGGTGGTGTTCTTAAGGGTTTATGGGCCAATCCTTGTTGGGCCATTAACCCAGCACAAATCCCCCACATATGATGTTCCGAGCATGCGCGGGACATAAGGAAGTAGAACTGGATCCGACGTACATCTCCTGATGCGCTGTTTGCCTGCTCATATACCCCATGAGAGGTGGTCGTGCGTCATCACCGCTTACCGCCATTTTGGTGCAGGAGCCAAACGTTGTTACTGGCATTCTAAGGGTATTTGCCCCCAGATTGTAGGGTTTGGGGAAGTTCGTAGGGTGATCCTCAGTAGGGTTTATGGGCCATCCCCCTTGGGCCTTTAACCCAACACAAGTCCCCCACTTCTGAAGTTCCGAACGTGCGCAGGACATAAGGAAGTAGAAATGGATCCGTTATACGTCTCTCGCTAGTGCCCTTGACGCCTCCCAAGTCGACGAGCCACCCCATATCTCCTGTGGGTACGACATTCTTCATTTCCTTGGGACGTTTGTCTTTTCGCTCGACCATCTTCTCACCGGTCCTCCGTGCGGCCCCTGGGTCTTATGCTACACGAGGCTGGTGATCTTGATGAAGAGCAGGCACGTTGATGCACACTAATTAGTAGTGCATAATTGTATGTTTTTATGTTTCATTGATGGTGATTGTTTGACGTTTTATTTAGTTTGTAAACATTTGTGTGATTTTAGTTGTAATTGTATTTTAGTTCTCATTTGTAAGTTGTAAAGTAGAATTAGGAATTAGGATGTTGGAAAGGAGGATGTTGAAGTGAAGAAAAGGAATTTTGACATTCCAGGAGCAAATACCCGACCGGGTAGGAAACTTCACCCGGTCGGGTCTGATTTGAAAACCGAACCACTGAGGAAAGAGCTGGGCCCGGTCGGGTACCCGGCCAAAGGTGTTGTAAAACACCTATAAATAGCCCCATTTTCCTTCACTTTTAATCATCCCTTCTTCCATACTCTTAAGCTCAGTTTAGAAAAGCATTTCTTTATATTTTTCTAGTTATGTTTAGTCTCCAAATGAGGAGCTAAACTTCCATTCTTGGTGTTGCTCTTGAAGCTTGTTGATGATTAAAGTTGTGAGTTATTTTCTTAACTTCTTTCCTTGAATATTAATTAATAGTTCTTTCCTTAATACCATCTCTATATTAATGTTGGGGAGTGTTGCTAAGATGACAATTAGTTAACATCTCGACATTGGTTAGAATGATATTTTCTTCCTCTATATTAATGTTAGGGAGTGTTGCTAAGATGACAATTAGTTAATATCTTGATATTAATTATAGTAGGATTCATCTTCTATTCTAAATATAAGATGGTTAATCGTTGATGGTTTCACAAGTAAGTAACTTCGGTTTATTAATGCACGGTCGTGGTTAATAAACTTAAGAGGGATTAATTTTGTTGGTTAAACCGAAACCGTTGTGTTGAGGTTATCAATCTCAATTGATTTCATCAAGGAGTTAGAAAGATTAAATGCTACTATTAAATCGGTATAAGGCGTTGTTCTATATTTGATTAATAGTAAGATGATAGAGTATATCTAGAGAGAAGTGAGAGCTAGAGAGAGAAGTGCAATAATATGCTTCAATAGAATGATTTTATAACCCCTATAACTACTCCCAAGGGGAGTATTTATAGAGAAAAAACGGGCTGGGCTCCCAAGCCTTGGCATATTGAAGTAACTTCAGCCTTACTTATCTTATTATTACACAATTCAGGGCGCGAAACCAAAAGTTACATGTTTGGTGAAAAAATTGACTGATAAGCCGAAAAATACCGTTACCAAACGGGCTCCTAGTTGGAAAATAGAAATCAAGAGAACATATCCTCCGGAAAAAACGCTCGAGGTAATTTTAGACATATTTTTTATAAAATATACAAAAATAAAATGTTAAAATAGAAGAAGACTACAAAAAGCAGCCCAATAAAAAAATGAAAATATTTAATTCATATTCATAATTTGCTTTTGAATGATCAGCTTAGTGACGTGAGATTTAGAGTGTTTTGGTGGGGGCACCCTTCTTTTCAATTGGGGGCACTTCCACTTTTTAAATTAAAACATATTTTATTAACATAAATTCACATTTTATTGGGGGCATGTGACCCCATTGAGCAACATGTACATCCGCCCCTGTATTAGAGTGCTTAGGTTCCAACCCTTACAATGAAATAAATGCTTCTATTTATACTGTCAATGGGTAGTTGGATGCATTGACGTGGCGGGTTGTGGAACGATTGGCCCCAACCGCCAAATCTTTTGCATTAAATGCGCTTCCCGCCAGGATCTTGGCTTCCCGCCAAGGGTGGGGACGTTTATCCCCATGAACTTACCTCCTGTTTCCTGCTGGGACCTTGGCTTCTCGCCAAGGGGTGGGGACGTTCGTACCCATGATCTTGCCTCTTGTTCCCTGTTGGGACCTTGGCTTCCTGCTAAGGAGTTGGGACGTTCGTCCCCACGAGCTTGCCTCCTGTTCCCTGCTGGGATCTTGGATTCTCGCCAAGGGTGGGGACGTTCGTCCCCATGAGCTTGCCTCATGTTTCCTGCTGGGACCTTGACTTCCCACCAAAGGGTGGAGACGTTCATCCCCATGAGCTTGCCTCCTGTTTCCTACTGGGACCTTGGCTTCCCGCCAAGGGGTGGGGACGTTCGTCCCCATGATCTTGCCTCTTGTTCCCTGTTGGGACCTTGGCGGCCCGCCAAGGAGTTGGGACGTTCGTCCCTATGAGCTTGCCTCATGTTCCCTGTTGGGATCTTGGCTTCCCGCCAAGGGTGGGGACGTTCATCCCCTCAGTGTCTTGTGCTGCTCCTGGGTCAAGATACCTGCTTACGCCATAATACGTACGTTCCCCTGGGCCTCGGTGTTGGGGCTTGGCCCCATTGGGACGAACCTCGCCAGGATAATGGGGGGCTAACACGTTGTCTTGGGCCTTCTGGGGATGTTCGTAATGTGGGCCTTGAGGGTTTATGGGCGAATCCCTGTTGGGCCAATAACCCAACAATTTGTTTTCAGTTGCTACTTTTGAGGATAGTGCATTAGAGGGTAAATGTGGTAATGGTTGCATGAAGGTTTTGAAAAATTCTTTGGTTATGTTCAAAGTTTTGAAAGTTAACAACTTGTATGTGTGCCGTGTTGTACTCTTCTTTGAATCTGTCAATGCTGTCTGTCCTGATAAATCTGTATTGTGGCATAATAGGCTAGGACACATGAGTAATAAGGGTCTAGAGATCATGCATAAATCATGTTACTTTGGTAAGATCGTGTGTATTCTGTGTCTTTCTGTGAAGCATGTGTGTTTGGTAAGCAACATATGGTCAGTTTCCCTAGTTCCACTTATCCAAACTTGTCTAAATGTACTTTTGCCTTAGAATATGTTCATGCTGGAGTTTGGGGTCCTGCCAGTATCCCTACCCATGGCGGTAAGAGATACTTTCTGTCAATTATAGATGATTTCTTTAGGAAAGTTTGGGTCTATATCTTAGTGCATAAGTTTGATGTCTTTGATAGATTTAGAGAGCGGAAAACCCTTATAGAAACCCAATCTAATCTTAAGGTTAAAGCCTTTAGAACTAACAATGGTCTAGAGTTGTGTAATAGAGAAATGCTGACTAGGGAATAAAGAGACACAAAACTGTGCCATATACTCCCCAACATAATGGTATAGCTGAGCGAATGAATAAAACCTTGCTTGATAAAGTGAGAATTTTTCTTGCTACCTCTGGACTGTCTAAGAAATTCTGGGGTGAGGCAGTTAACACTCCCGCCTATTTGATAAATAGGTCCCCTTCTGTTCCTCTAGGAGGAAAGTGCCCCGAGTCTGTGTACTCTGGTAAGCCCATTGATTTATCTAACCTTAGGGTTTTTGGATGTGCTGCTTATGTTCACCAATAGTTGGATTAAGTTAGATCCTAGGTCTCAGAAATGTGTTTTCTTAGGATATCCTAAGGGGGTTAAAGGTTATAGGCTGTGGGATAGAAACTAGGTGGGTTTTAAGGTAGTGATCAGTAGGGATGAAATATCCAATGAGTCTGAATTCCCCTGTTTGAATATTTCTACCACAAATCAAAGTTCTGTTTATGAGAGTGTTCAGTCTGAGGTGGAGTCTGTTTCTGCTGCTACCATTCCATTATTTGATGTTGTTGTGAATGATTCTGATGCTAGTATGCATGATACCAATCATTCTAGTGGGGTGGAGTCCTTTCATGATTTTGAAATACGTGTTGACTCTAATGATAGTGCTGAACAACATGATACTTCTATGGAGCATGATATCTGAGATTTGCATAACTATCAACTTGCTAGGGATAGAAGTAGAACAATTGTTAAGAAAGTTTCTGATAGTATGTCTAAGACCCTGAAATTGAATGAGCCCAAAACCTATAATGAAGCCTTAAGATCTAAGGAGTCCCAGAAGCGGCTAGATGTCATTAATAGTGATATGGAGTCTTTGAGAGTTAACCAAACATGGACCTTAGTTCCCAGACCTCTCAACTTTTTTTGTTAGAAAGCAAATGGTTGTTTAAGGTTAAGGAAGAACCTAAGAGTGTGAGGTTTAAGGCTAGGTTAGTGGTCAAATGGTTTACTCAAAAAGAGGGTGTAGGTTATGCTGCGATATTTGCTCATGTGGTTAAATTTACTACTTTTACAACCATATTTGCTCTTGTTGTTCACTTTAATTGGGAAATGAAACAAATGATGTGACCACTGCTTTCTTTCACGGTGATCTTGATGAAAAGATCTATATGACCCAACCTGAAGGGTTTGTGGATCCCAAGAAAAGTGATTATGTGTGTTTGCTAAGGAAGACCTTGTATGTTCTGGAGCAATCTCATAGGCAATGGAATATTAAGTTTGATCGATGCATGAAATCTATGAAATTTGTTATATTTGCCTGTGATCATTGCTTGTACTATAATGATACCTCCTCTATGACAGTATTCTTATTGCTCTATGTGGATGATATGTTAATCATAAGTCTCAATCTTGATTCCATTATTCATGTGCAAAAATTTCTTTGTGAGAATTTTTCCATGATAGACCGAGGGGATGCAAAGAGAATCCTAGGCATTAACATCATTAGGGATATGAGCAAATCTACTCTTTTGTTAAACCAAGTTTATTATGTGGAAAATGTTTTGAGTAAATTCAATATGCAATATGCTTACTTGTGAATGTTCCTTTGACATCCCATTTTGTGTTAAGTAAGGATCAGTCCCCCAAGGGTGATTCTGAAATTGATGAGATGAATCTGGCCCTTATTCCTGTGCGATAGGGTCTGGTATGTACCTTATGGTGAGTACTAGGCTTGATATTGCTTATGTTGTTAGTTGCCTAAGTCAGTTTATGTCTAATTCAGGTATGCCTCACTGGAATGCTTTAAAATGGCCGTTGAGATATCTGAATCTGCTGTGAAACATGGTCTGTTATTTGCTGAGGGTTCTGATGGTACTTTGTTACATGGCTATGTGGATTCTAACTATGCTAATCATAGGGATAATAGGAAGTCTACCACTTCTTATGTATTTACTTTGCGTCGGTCTTGTATCAGTTGGAAGTCCCAGTTGCAACCCATAGTTGCACTTTCCACTAATGAGTCTGAATATGTTGCAGCTACTAAAGCCTTTAAGGAAGCCATCTACCTTAAAAGACTTGTCAGCGATCTAGGTTTTCTTAAGCAGGGAATTACTGTTTATTCAGACAGTTAGTCAGCTATTCAACTTTGCAAAAACCATGTGTTCCATGATAGGACAAAGCACATTGATGTTAGGTTCCATTTCATTCGGAAGATTGTGGAGGCTGGAGATGTCATGATGGAGAAGATCCCATTAGAGTTCAACCCAGCTGATATGGGGACAAAATGTCTTTCTGTTGAGAAATTATTTTCTTATAAATGAATATTAAATCTAGATTGTGGTTAGATATTATTTGTTTTGCAGATACTGACCCATGGAGTTGTTGCTTACACTCCTGGGCCTGCTCTAAGAAAAAGTTGTTCTCTGGGCATTCGATTTATGTTCATGTGATCCTTTGGATCACGAAAGTGTGTATCACACTATCCAACTTATTTTTCTAAGTCCTGTGTGACCCATGAAGTGTTTTGTGCACCTCCAATTTGTTGGCCTACTATATCTTTGGATATCTTAGGCAACCAGGGATGATGAGTTTTCCCATCCACTTTGTATGCTCTACACCACATATGACCAATAAGGCAGAGAATGTGAGAGGTATTGGCCTTATGGGCCTTGACCTCCTCCTTCCTTTGTTACTGAGACTTGGGCCTGTCTACTACTTAGTAATCACCCAGCCCATTTGTTCCTTCTTGGTTTGCTCTCCTTTGTGTTCGGCCCTTTACCCGTGTTAACCTACTTACCTTGTTGGGCTTTGCTGACCCACCTACTTATTGCCTTGTTTGGTATTTTTCTTGCTTGAGCCGCCTCAGTTTTAACCCTAGTTCTACAGTCCTCCTTGTAGATAGAGAGAGAGTCTGGCTTCTCTCTAGCCATTCCTCTTCTTCCGTCCCTCTTTTCACTTCGAAAGTGTGTGTGCGCACGCTCTGTGGGTTCTAGAGAGAGGCTTGAGAAGGTAGTTGGGTTGGGTTTGGGTTTTGATACCTTGGTGGTGGTTCCCTGTCGCGGTAGGTCTGTGTGGTGGTTGTGAGTTGTTCTAGAATATGAAAAAGGAAGAATATGAAAAGAAAGACTAAAAAGGCGAAGGGAGGCGGGGAATGTTGGCGGTGAGTTTACCTTTTGCGGCTGAAGTGAGTTGGCAAACCTAAGCAATTCACCATGTCAAATGGGTTGAATATGAAGAACAATAAGGAAGACGCGGTAGAGATTCTCTAACGTGATAAACGACGTTTGTTTAAGCAACGCCAATTACAGAGAGAGTTACAATGAGTTTGAGGATGGAGCCGAGCTGTTCAAATGTTTAATTGTTTTCTTTATAAATTTTGGATTGTGTATATAGTTTGTACACCTTTTGATGAATCATCAATAAATTGATGCACACGATGAACATATATGTGCCGATGTGCGTGTGTGGATGGTGAGTCTGGCCTCCTTTCTACTAAGCACATCCATGATTCTTCCCCGCCCAATCTAGGAAAGAAGTAAGAGAAGACGAGTGATACAACGAGAGGTAAAATCTTCTAAACCCATTAAAATTTGTGATGTAGAATTGCACATGATTGCATCAAAATCTTATAGAATCTGTAGAGTTTTTTTTGAAAGAAATCTATAGAGTTCTATTAAAAGTCACACAATCCACCATCCTTAAAAATGCATCCAAACATGTCTCTATGCACCCTAATACACCCTAATAGTAATTCCTAAAAGACCATTTAACTTGCTAAAGCCACACCCATATATGTAGGGTTGAACAAAAATTGAAAAATTGAAACCGGTGGACAAACTGATCAAAACCGTACTAACCAAAATCGAGTGAAACCAACCGAATCAAAATTGACTGACAAAAAGTGACGAAAACATGCTAAAATTGACTGACACCCACTAAATCGACTCAACTTCTGTGGTCCAGATTATGGATTTTATCTATTCCAAGGTTGACTACAACCTTGAGGTGACTAAATTGAGCTTTTCACCGTAAAAACCATTGCAATCCAAGGTACAGAGGGGCACCAAAGTGGGTTGGGGGCACTCCTCCAGTGGGAATTTACGACCTTATTGACGGAAAGAGAGGTCATGCAAGAAAAATTGGCCAGCATCTTGTTACGTGAAAAGAGGAAATGGTGGGACCAAGATAAAAAAATTAAATCTCATTTTTTAAAAGTCTTGTAACTTTTTTTATTTGTACTCCATTTTTTACAAAAAATATACAAAATTTCCTAACTTGTTTTCATTGTTTTTTTACATCTTTCAATTTTTAAAATATTTATGAAGTAACAAAAAAAATAACCCCAAATTTATATATTTATACATTGGAAAATTCAGCTTTTCAAGTCATAATTATTCACAACAAAACATTGAGAAAAAATTTTGCATAATAATAAAAGTAAAAGTAAGAACTTAATTAAAAAAACTTTGTTGATTGAATATATTGAAAATATTGAATGTAGAAAAAATGAATTGATTTAATGAATACGTATAAATTTTGAAAGATTTGATCAATTGACGAGTTAGATACCAAAAGGGAGAACAAATTGATCAAATTGAAAAACGAAAAAGGAACCCCTTTCTTTTATGGTACACAAAATGTCCATAAAATGTTTATGTACATTTTTGACATCAATTGAAGGGTAAGAATTTTCCTCTTATTTATGTACCAAAACCACTCCCTTCCAGGCTTCCACTGCCATTGCCCCCCCCCCCCCCCCCCCCCCCCCCCCCCCTTGGACTCTCATCCCCTCAAAGACCACGAAGGCACGAGCTCCTTCCCCTCTATATATCGCGCTGAGACAAGTCGCTAAATCAATGTCAATCCTATTCAAATTTCGAAGCTCCGCGATTTTCGACTCCGTCGACCTCGAAGGACGACATTCAATCTCGGTTCGGGAGCTGAGGTTGAAGATCATTCGCAATAAGAATCTTAATATTTGTCAGGACTTTGACCTCGTGTTTTCCGATTCTGTGACTGGTGAAGGTCATTCAATTATGTCTTAATTCATTTCCTGTTAATCACAAGTCCTATGGGTGTATATGATATAGCGATCGTCACTGTTAATGTTAAAAACAAACTGAATTTGATCTTATGGTGTTAAATTAGACACTTGATTTGTTTTTTTTGGAAATTTAATGCAGAATACGATGATGATAATTTTCAAATTCCCAGCGGTGCGTGTATAATTGTTAAGAGAGTTCCTGCTGGCACAGTGCCTTCTGCTAACGCGTAAGTTTTCTTCGCTCTCTGTGCTGTGGTTTTAAGTTATCACCTCGTTCTAAAATATCAGCTTGGTTTAATATTCACCTTAATGATCTTGTCCCTCTGATGTGTTATTATTGAGCTCTTCAATTGGGAAATTCAGGTAAGAGGTTTCATTGTGTGTTTGTAATTTAGTAATAGGTAGCATGTAAGCAAATCACAAGTTTCATTTCTGCACATTGGAGACATTCCACATCCATTAATTCTCTGAAACATCCCAAAACATTCTGGGGCTATTATGGAGACACCTTTTCTAATCAAGGATATATTTCCTAGTCAGAGACATGTTTTATGTTTTACTTTATGAGCCCCCATCACTAGGAAAGGCATATCACGCAAGTATATCAACATCATGATGGATATGTATGAGGGTCGTACTACAAATGTCTGTGCTAGTGTGGGGAGGACTGCAGAGTTCCCTATTACCATCAGAGTGTACCAAGGATCGGCTTTGAGTTTTTTTTTTTATTTGCCATAGTCGTGGATGAACGTACAAAGTTAATTCAAGGCGATATAACGTGGTGTATGATGTTTTCCAACAATTGATTGATCAACGCAATCGGGTGTTAAATCTAAGTTGGAAGTATGACAACAAATATTGGAGAACAAGAGTTTTGGACTGAGTCGAAGCAACATCGAGTACATGAAGTACAAGTTTGGTGGAGATAGAAGCAGTGGTAACTGGTAATAGTGAAATTACTCTAGATGGTAAGAATATACTGGTAAGTGATATCTTCCGTTACATGGATGAAATGGAAGCGTGCATCAACATTTCTATGCGATCGAGGTCATGGTAGTCAAAATCCTGATCTCGCACGTAGAACCGTACGACTATACGATCTCTACTTGGGATGTTAACGAGTCGAGTCGAGCCCGAACACCCAAAGCTTGAGTTCGGCTCGATAAGAAATTAGTGGTGTTCGGGTTCGAGCTCAAAGCTTGGCGAGCTTTTCAAATGAGGCTCGTGTTCAGCTCGATAGGCGTTCGATGTTCGAACCGAGCGCTCGATAAGCTCGATAAATATGTTCGAGCTTGGCTCGATTAATTTTTCGAACTTAAAACTCAGCTTGGGTTCAAGTTCGAAAGCTTGTTAAGCTCGGCTCGTTGGGTTCGAAACCGAGCTTGAACTCGAATAGTTCAATAAAACCTCGGTTCGTTAACAACCTAATCTCTACTGCTCCCTCTCTACTGCTCCTGGCGATCCCAGTTTTACTAAAGATCATAGAAGTACTTGAATCGATGGGATTGCCGCGCAGAATTATAAACTCGTGGAATCGCAGGTGAATCGCGAGTCAATAGCGACTAGTTGTCGAATTTCTAAAGGCTTCAGGATTAGGAATCCTCTGCAAAAAAGACTGAAAAGCTGAATAAAGGATTGAATCATCGGTAAAATGGCTCCATCCCACCTCGTTAACTTGAGCTCTATCCGTCCGTAAAAAGTCCTCATCTCTCCGCATCAATGGTCGACCTTGTTATCTTGAATCGATCTAATGCCCAATTGCCCAAGTATATTACTCTGTACTTACACACTTGGTATTATACGTAGTATTACCGAGCATTACACACTCATTATTACAGAGTGTTACATTACTGCGTATGTTACATTATTACACCACTAGGTATTTTACTTTCTTACTCCGTACTATATTTTTAATAATATACGAGTATTACTTTAATTTATTGTTAGTTGTTACTATAATTTATTATTTTTATTTTACTATAAACAATGTGTATAATATCTTAAGTATTAGTTATCATATTCTAAATATCTTAGTATGATTATTATTGATGAATTATATTCAATACCTAATTATTATCATATATTATTATATACATAGTATGAATTATATCCATGTTTAATTATAACTAATACACACACACATAACACATACTGTAGGATCTTACGATTCGAGTCACGATCCTACTATTTACGATCTTCAGGCCCCTTACGATCCTACATAGGATCTCGAGTTTGACTACCACGATCAATGTATGTCGACTAGATTGAATAATAAATTTTATTGGACATCAATTAGGTTTGCATTATTGTATGACGTAGAGTGTTGGACGGTAAAACAATGCCACATTTAAAAGATGAGTGTGACAGAGATATGCATGTTGCATTGGATGTGTGGACATACTAGAAAGGACTGCTTGATGAATGAGACAATCAGAAAAAAGGTGTGAGTCACACCTATTGAAGATAAGATGCGAGAGTCTCGCTTGCGGTGGTTCGGTCATGTGCGTAGAAGACCGAATGATGCACATATCTGACGAGTTGAGAGGTGCGGAGAAGAGGCAGGGAAGAGAGGGAGTAAAAGACCCAAACAAAAGTGGATTAGAGGAGTCAAGAGTAGGGGTGCAAACGAGTTGAGCCGAGCACAACCATGGGTATGCTTGAGCTTGAGCTTGATAAGAATTCATGAGCTCGAGCTCGATCTCGAGCTTGGACGAGTTAAATAATTCGGGCTCGAACTCGACTCGAGCTTTGCTTGAGCTCAATTCAAGCTTTGTTCGAGCTCGAGACAAGTTTTGCTAATTGTTTTTATAGGTTTGAACTCGAATAAGATGTTCGAACTCGAGCTAAAAATATAATGTGTACTTATTCATTCTCATTTTTAGTTTATTTCTCTTTACTGATACTTTTATTCTTTATTTTATTGTCAATAAATATTACAGGAACATATTATAATTATTATAGATTGTGGTTATAATAGTAATACTACGCACATGTTATTATTTTTGTAATTATTACTATTATAATATACTTAATGATAAGTATTGAAAATGCAATAGTCCTAAATCAGAATACATATTCCCAAAAAAGTATATATATGATCATTACATATATAATTATTATAAACTTCCTCCGTTCCATAAAAATTGCAACATTGGAATTTTCGCACTATTCACACACCTTACTTTGACTACAATTTTCTAATAATATATGTAATAAAAATATTATGTATAAAATATTAATAAATTTGTATTAATGTAAATTTCCAATATATTAACTTTTTTTAATGTTTACTAATACGTAAATATATATAATTACAGTCAAAGTTCCGTGTTGGCAAACGTGAAAGTCAAACAGTTGCAACTTTTATGGAACGGAGGATAGTATAAAATATGACATAAAGGCTCGCGAACCGGCTCGCGAGCCATGAGCCTAAAATAAATAGGCTTGAATTCAGTTTGTTAACTATTCGAGTCGAGCTTAATATGACCGAACTCGAGCTTTTCCCGAGCGATCCACGAGCAGGTCGCGAGCGGCTTGGCTCATTTACACCCCTAGTCAAGAGTGATATGCTTCTTATTGGATTGGAGGATTGTATGACTTTGTAGAGAGCAAAGTGGAGGGCGAGTATGTGTGCGGCGGAGGGATCTCTTATCCAGTGATGTCCATAGCGGGCTATAGCGGTGCTATAGCGGAATAGAGGGGCGGAGCAGGGGCTAGGCGCTATGGAACTTCCTATAGTGGAGCGGTTGGCATAGCGTCTGTAGCGGGTGCTATAGCGGGAAGAATAGCGGCTGTAGCGGGCGCTATAGCGGGAAGAATAGCGGCTGTAGCGGGCGCTATAGCGCCGCTATAATTTATAGGGCTACTTTAGTGCTAATTTTGAGGGAATTTAGGAGTACCTTTTACTTTTAGATGTTTTTGGAGTGAAAAATAACCTCAAGTCACCTCCAAAACACGTGGGGGACAAAATAACCCTACTAAAATAACTCAAAATAGAAACCAAGATCAAGCATAACCTATAACATGAGTCTCTATGTTAAGGTAGTTCAAGGCATCCCAACAACCATGATTTTGTTATAATTAGATATTAATGACTAAGAATTTATCAAGAATTATTTGGAACTTACTTGTTAATGTTAAGAGGTAAGGTACTTAAATTATTTGTTTCTTTTGTTTAAGACACTAATGCCTCTATTGGTAAATTAGTAAGTGTAAATTTCATGACGTTTGAGTAATATATTCGTGGTTTATCATTTCTTGGAATTGATATGTGCATGACATGTAATTGTATGCACACATATGATATGCACTTTGCATATATATTGTCTAAATAGCGGTCATCCCGCTATTCGCTATACCATTCCAGCGTTTTTAGGGGTGGCCGCTACGCTCCTCTATCCTGGATTAACAACACTGCTCTTATCATCTTTCCCCCCTCATCTTCTTTTTCTTTCTTGTGTATTTGTTTTTTTATCCTTCTATCTTTTTATATATATATATATATATATATATATATATATATATATAGGGAAGAGTTCAAATGAAAAGTTGTCTTCCCGTGCAAAGTGCAAAGTTTTCACTTTTTCATGTTTCGCTTGCACTTTTTGTTGTTTGCGTTGCACTTTTTGGCCATTTTGATTTTGGCCAAATTCGGCCAAAATGACGGTGGTAGTTTTGTAAATAAACCATTTTTTTTGAGCTATCGCGAAAAAGTGCAACGAAAGCAAGAAAAAGTGCAAGCGAAACATGAAAAAGTGTAAACTTTTCACTTTGCACGTTAAGACCTCTTTTTATTTGAACCATCCCCTACATATATATATATTCTTTTTATCCTTTTTATTTTATCATTTTATGTACGTCTTATCTCTTTTTTTTATCGTAGCTTATCTTTTTATCTGTTTTTTTCTTCTTGGTTCCGATATTATGAATCCATTCATGTTAGCTGACACCAAAATCTTTTGGAATTAAGGCTTGGATGTTGTTGTTGTAGCCTCTATCCCACCGACCTGAGTTGGAGTCTATATTTCCAATAAATGCACAGTGGATGTATATCCATTAGAAAATGGGAAATGTTAATGTTTACCATGTTATGGAATCTAGATGTACTGTATTAGATGATTGTTTAGTATTACTATATCAAATTCCATCATGAAAGTAGTAGATAGTATATTTAGTATGCCTAGTTAATTATAAAATTTATTTAAAAAAATACTCCCATATTATTGTATTTCCAACTTTTATGTCCCAATTATTTTTGAAGCAATGATTCCCCGTGTCTCTCAACTCATCTATTTGACTTGTCCCAGCTGGCCATCCCCCATCTCTGTGCTGCATAATTTTTGTAGGCGTGCGTAAAGTGTTGATATTATATATTTGTATCGTGTTTTTTGGGGATAAGACCTCTCCTGGTTGAATATCTGGAGATGAAATTTAGAGCTCCATAATCCATATGTCTCTTGCCAATGTTGGTGCTTACTGGCTGTTAGCCTGATACTTGGTTTGGTGTTACTTTATACTCTACTGCAAATGTAAGGACCTTTAAATTGTCCTGGATTACATTCTCTCTCTTTGGTGCTACTGAACAAAAACACTTGCATATACTCGATAATTAAGGACTGATTTAACCATTTGTATACATCATAGAGAACGAAAGGACTCTACCTCAAACAAGGACGCCCATAACATTTCCCCCATTTCTGAGAAAGAGGTATACAGCACATGTGTGTTAAGGGCCATGGTACAAGATCTAGTCCAAGGTCGATGATTCTGAGAAGAACAAGAAAAATATGAATCTATGGTGCCTGAAATATTAATCGACTCCCGCCCTCGGCAAGGAGTTTGTCGCAGGTTCCACCGTATGCCAAATAAAATTAATATTCCAAAGCTAATCTCATTAATCCAACTGATAAGCCTTAAATAGGCTAAAGACAAGTTTCCTAAAACAATAATAGGAAAGAAGTAATACAGAAGTTCCTAAACTAGTATAAGGAAACCCGAATAAATAAACTCAAAGTAGGAAACTGATTTAATTAATTAAAATAGACTCAAAGTAGGAAACTGATTTAATTAATTAAAATAATGAGGACCACTCAAGCTGGTCCCTTCTTTGACCGCTTCTGGTAAACTCTGCCAAATCGACCCATATCAATGTGTTAAGGAAGTGAGAGCTAGCCCTAGTCTAGGGGTGAGTTCGGAAGATTAATCGGGAAAGAGAAAGATAATTGGTAGAATTAAACGAATCTATTCTCATTGTTAAAATAATCGGTGCCCGATCTTGTCAAGACACAAATTATTTCTCCAAAAAGTAATTTTTTCCATAACAAACCTCTTTATAAAGAGAGGCTGCGTGGAGTTTTGAATAGGAAAAGAAACAAGAATTGGAAACAAAACTAGAAACCTGAAATACAATAATATTAGGAGACAATATCCTTGTTTCCCAGTTTAGCCATATTAACCAAATTGATTAAGGAAATACATTAGTATTAGGAAACAATATGCTTACTCCCAAGTTCAACCACTTCCAGTTGTTGACTCCCGGGTCTTCAGACTCTTTGTGTGTGATTTGTAAGTGTGGCCCCAATAGGAGTCAACAATATCACTCCCCTCGTTAGCAAAAAGCTTGCCCTCAAGCCCATAATCTGGATAAGTTGTGTGCAATGACGCTACTGTTTCTCAAGAAATGATGTTGTCACGGCCAACGGGCTAAGTAGTTCCTGCTCTACACCTTCTAACTTGGCTATTTGGGCGGCATATGTCACCAGTTTGGGGAGATCCCGTCCAGAAACCAATCAGAAAGGAGTATCACCCAAAGTGATGTGGTAAGAAGTGTTGTAAATATACTTCACACATGGAAGTCAATGAACCCACTCACGAGGGTGTGTGCTAGTTAGACAACACAAGAACATTTCTACCGTGCGGTTGACTATTTCTGATTGGTCATCAGTTTGAGGGTGGTAGGCTGAAGAAAAAGCAAGTTTGGCTCACAAAGATTTTTTCTCTGTCCGGTACAATGGATTCTGGTGGTCTGCGGAGTCGGACATTTTTATTAGCAAATATTTAAATGCATTGCTTTAGACAACTTGTTGATGACCAAGGTCTTGTCGTGAACCTTCGGTAGGCCTTCCACAAAACCCATTGAGATATTTGACCAAACATGCTCTGGAATTGGCAGCGGTTGGAGTAGTCCTGTGGGTTGTAAGTTTAACCACTTGTGTTGTTGATGACATGCCTGACTATTTCATGTATAATTTTCCATTGAATATTACATACCAATCCAGTAGAATTCATGCAGCAGGCGTGTTTGACAGTTTTTTTTTTTTTGCCACCTTCATGTGCCATCTTGTGCAAGATTGATAGGAGGGTAGGTATTGTGGAGTCGGGTAGCAGTGTAGCACAAATAGTTTGTGCCTGCAAATATTTAACTTTTCATTTCTTGAATTTCTGCATACAGTGACTGGACCACTCGTATCTCGTCTAACACGGTGTTAAAGGGAATTGTGAGAGCTGCCAATAACGGTGTTAAGGCATCCTTGTTTGTACTCGACACAAAAATTAAATCCCATTAACTTCTTGAGCTAGTGTTGTTGTGGGGACGTGGTCAAACGGTCCAGTAAATGTTTCAAACTGGAGTGCTCGATGCAGATGAGAAATTCTTGGCCTCCCAAATAAGGCTGTCAGTGAGTGACGGCTTTAACCAGATCGATGAGTTCTCTTTCATACACAGCTAATTTCACGTGGCGGTTTGCAACTTCACGGCTGAAATAAGCTATTTGGTGCCCCTCTTGCTGCAAAACAGCCCCTATGCCACTCCCTAGAAGCATCACATTCCACAACAAAAGTAACAAAAGTTTTGTCTAGTCTGAGAGTTGAAGCACAGGTGTAGTAGACAAACGGAGTTTCAAAGTTTTGACAGATGCTTCTGCTACTACGTTCCAGCTGAACTCATTCTTTTTAAAGAGCTGGGTTAAACATGCAGCTATCTCCCCAATGTGGAATTACTTTGCGGTAGTAGCCTGCTAGCCCCAAGAAGCCTCGTAAGGCCATGGCCGAGGTCGGATTAGGCCAATCACAGACTGCCTGAATCATCGCCAGATCAACTCCCACTCCCTTCCTGTGAATGACGTGTCCTAAGTAATGCATTGTCAGCCCCGAAGCTGCACTTGGACTGCTTTAAAAAGAGACCATGTGACTGTAACAGTTCTAGGATGAGGTGGATGTGATGCTTATGATCCAACAATGACTTGCTGTAAATGAGGATATCGTGAAAGAAGGCCAAGACAAGCTTTCAGAGATACGGGCTGAATATATCATTCATTAGGGTGGAAGTATGGACAAACCACAATTGGAATACGGGTAGCAGTATGGACAAACCACAACTGGACTTGTGCTGAGAAGTAAAGTAATGTGGTGATCACATGCACACTAGGGTGGAAGCCAAGGAAGTGTGAAATAGATTACCAAGTGTGAGAGGCAGCTGAAACGTCGTACTGCAACCCTGTCATGCCACCGGCTTAGCCTTCCAGGTGAACTATGTGGGAAGTTTTGAGAAGTCCCATTGGATGGAGATAAGCCCGCAAAGCTTTCGGATGCCCAAAATCATACCAAAATCGGACCAGCAATACATAAAAATCTGCATGCAAGTGGTCATTGTTAACAGGGAACATAAGACGCGAACATGTACCAATGATGGGTACCCGGTCTCCATTGGCCACCAAAATCTCCAGGGTGCTGCTGAAGTGTGTTCATGGGGACCAAACGTTGGTGGATAAAATTGTGAGTACTCCCCGAATCGTCCAAAACCGTCATGGACGGGTTGAACAAGGTTGCGTCCAGTTGCATGGTGGAATATGACCCGAACCCAGTCATTGTGTTGAGTGACAGTGAGATCCTAATTTGGGTTTCCGGGGCATCTCCAAGTTCATCACTCACAATTTCAACAATAAAATACTCTTTTGCACCTATGGTCACAAATCCAATGTTCATCACAATTATAACATGATCCCTTTTCTTGTCGCACAACAGTTTTAGCCGGGTTAATTTTTTAAACATAGGACTGTAACTTTTCTTAACTGGTGCTGGCTCGGGGAGAACTGAGTGATTGGACTGAGGAATTCGAATCTCTGACCTAGCTGATCCATATGTATTTTTTGTTGAGGTCGCAACTGTAAATATTTGCGCTCGCTTCTTCTGGCGAGCATCATGCTCCTGTCAAGATCGACAGGGTCTTGGTATTCGACCTCCATGTGTACCGTCTCTCGAAGTCCAGCCATAAAAATGTTGATTTGCATGCGGATTGATACTCTAGCGCTTCGGGCTAGCAACTGCTGAAAGCCTGAAACTTGGTTATATAAGATTCCAAGTCAGACATGTGCTTTAAGTTCACCCAGACCCTCCGTGTTGTGGGCCTGTGGCTGCTTGGTGGCCCTAATCGTTTTGAGCAGCGAATATAGAACTCTGTCCAAAGAGTTGAACTCCAAGACTGTAAAGGACAGATCGTTTTGGGCATTACTAGTCTTGTGAAAAGTAGCCAACCCTACTTGTGCCTGTGGTTGGGTGTGCTGTTGGGCGAAGAATCGCTCGCACCGCTTCAGCCAAGCTAGCGGATCGCTGGATCCATCATACTGGGGAAGCTCCAACTTGGAGTACTGGGAACCATCCCATCATCCGAGTCACGTTGGTGATGAAATGTGTGTCGTGGTCGTCCGGAATGTGGACTGGATGATGGTGGGTCCTGCAACAATTGGTTGACAGCGTTTTATAGGTGTGCGACAGTTTTACTCATCTCAGCGAAAGATGCTGGCATTCCTGCCAAGTCAGTCACGGTGTTCTTGATATCTGTGAGCTGTTCTTTTAAGTCAACCTGCTGTTGATCTTCACCTTGTAGTAAGGACTTCAACGCCTCTGTTGTCGTTGGTGTGTTCCCCATCGTGCCCATATCTGATACCAAATTGTTAAGGAAGCGAGAGCTAGCCCTAGTCCAGGGGTGCGTTCAAGAGATTAACCAGGAAAGAGAAAGGTAATCTGTAGAATCAAACAACTCTATTCTTATTGTTAAATTAACTGGTGCCTGACCTTGTCAAGACACACAAATTAATTCTCCAAAAGTACTTTATTCCATAATCAACCCCTTTACATAGAGAGACTGCTTTTAGAATTTTGAATAGGAAAGGAAACATGAATTGAAAACAAAACTAGAATCCGGAAATATAATAGTACTGGGAAGCAATATCATTTTTTCCCAGTTCAACCATAATAACTAACTAGAATAAGGAAATATAATAGTATTATGAAACAATATCCTTATTCCCATTTAGCCACTTCCCATTGTTGGCCTTTGGACTCTTTGTGCATCATTTGTAAGTGTAGCCCCAAAAGGAGTCCACAACAGCATGTTGATGTTTCTATTGTGAGACTGGTCTAAAAGGTATAACATGTCCATTTGATGAAAGTACGGAACCTAATAGAATGTTGCTTACCTGCTTCACATGACTTTTCTTAGATGGATCCAGATCTGGTTTGCAGTCTTCTACATTTCCTTTCTCTTATAAATGGTAGATATGTTTTTCACAATAGGTTTAGCCATCTGAGATTATATTTGTCTTCCAATATTTTGGACCCATACTCCCTGAGCTTTTGAAATTCCAAACTTCAATAGGAACCCTATAAGTTAACCATTTTATATCGTTCGAATTTCTTTTAAAGACTTCTCAAATTCAGTTATTCAAATGATTCTCATGTAATCTCTATTAAATTTCTTATCATGAACAGGATGTTTCTGTGCTCAACAGCTTGGTCTTGATTAATTGATTCATCAAAATGTTGTTTCCATCTACTCTTCATTCTGATCAGGAACAATCTGATTCTTGTCATTGATGTATTTTACCCTTTTAGAGGCACTAGACATTTCCCCCTCATTTGAGCCATCTTATAGGTTTGTTCCCGTCCATTTCTCGAGTCCAGTTTGCCATAGATATTTTACCCTTTTCTCTCCTGTTGCCTGTGCTTTAAAATTGTTAATTTTCCTTAGGTTCTCCTCATCCCTCCATTTCTCAATCTTTGGTGGCTTTAGCACTTAGCAGGTTATAATTGAATTGCTTAATGTCTTAATTCGTTCTAATGCAGATGCATCCATATAGTTAGCAATGGAGATCTTGCACATACTGTAGAGTTTTACTAATGATGAATATATCCTGCATTTGACATCCTCTCTCATGTAAACTGCTTTAATGTACCAGGGTGCCTCCTGCCATGATAAATGACTTGACTAAGCAGGGTCGTGATTGTTTAAATCCAGTAGTAAGTTTGTTTGTACTTTACTTTGATATCTATTATGGTCCATTATCTTTAACAATTCATCATACATTCTTGCACTTGATATGATTTTACTAAGAAGGAAATTTCAGATTTTGAGTTTCTATTTTATAGAGTCTTATATCTGATTATGTTGATGACTTTTGCACTATGATGTGCTTTCCTCTTGGGAAGGTGCTATATGAATCAGAGCATGAACGCATTAAGAGAAACTCCTGTGTTGACTTTGACGGGGCAGGCCTGCCTGGCTCAAGGTATTTTACTAGCTAGTCATTTTTTTCATCACTGAAAGGCTGCACGGCTCTTTTTTAAAATGTTTAGACACACCACAATACACAATAAATTTGTCCTTGTTTTGGAAAATGTAAAATTAGGACCAAGCACAATCACTAAATTCTGTCTTGCATATTGTCTACACAAAACCTTGATGTCTCTTTTTATGATTACAAGTAATATATCCATGAATTCAACTATGCTGTGCATCTATTTTTGCTGAAGAAAGTGTAGCCACATTGCTTTGGTTTTTGTACTTGTATTGACCTAATTGGTGGCTTTTTTTCTTCCAAAAGGACTAACTTAGGTTTTCTTCCTTCAGGTTTGATTGTCAAAATCACGAGTCTAGTGACTTAAGTCAAGCGATTTATAAAGGTTTGTTGCTACATAGTATGCACTCCCTAGGCAATGTTCGGAAAAAGAAGTTGATTACTTGATGTATAAACTAGGATTTTATAGCTGAAAAGCTCAAAAGCTAGATTTCAATGATAGTGATTTGCAAAGGTAGCCCGAGAGCTAGCTTAAAAATGCAAAAAAATGAGACACTAATATATTTCAATTGCTTTTTAATGCAAAAGGGTTTTATGTAAAATTATGTAGGAAGAAGTTGGTGGAACTTATGTAGAAGGTACTAAAATAACCTTTTGAGATGTGCTCTAGTTTATCAAATAAGCTCCTTGAAAAAGTTTTATCTAAAAACAAGCTAAAGGGTAGATCATAATTAGGAAAATATAGTTTGTGATGTTCTTGATAATCTCTGTGCTGGTATGAATTTCCAGGTTCTGATGATAACATGCGTGAACGAGATGTGGTGCAAGAAGCAAGAGCTGAAGGCAAGAAGTTTGAAAAGTATAACTATTTCGTTCTCTCTTGACTTACTTTTAATTGTTCCTACCGCCGTTCCAATTTGATTTACGTTTTAGTGAAGGGCTTTCATATTAAGGACCAATTCAAAATGACATTTCTATCCCTCTAAAAGTTGAACATCATATGCATCGCATTTCTTATCAAGGCACTAAATTTTTTAACATGGGAGAAGTCAATAAAGGCAAGTTTGGTAGACTACTATAAAAAATGCATTTGATTTCTTAACACCAATTATTTTGGGGTATATTGGCTAGAATGGAAAGTAATTTAAAAGGGAGTATATTTTTACATACTTGACACATGGAAATTATAAGTGCGGTGCACTTTATTTTTCCAGAGGACATGCTGATTTGCCAGTAGAACTCAAATGCCCACTCTGCAACACATTTTTCAAGGAGGCCGTGCTTATACCTTGCTGCCAGCATAGTTTTTGTAAAAAATGTGAGTAGATCTGTTGAATTTAGCTTTCTGCATGTAAGCACGACTTTGCAGGTTAAACACGTGATCACAACTGACGTTTGAGCAGCTTTTGAACATTCAAGATTCATTATTCCTCTGACTTGACCCGTGGTCTCACATTGTTTATAATACTCCATCTGTCCCATTGGACTTTGCTAACTTTCCCTTTTTGGTTGTCCCCAAAACTTTGCCACTTTCCTATCAAAGTAACTAATTTGTGGTTCTGCTTATTTCTCTCTCCTCTGCACAAACCTCAACCACACAACTTTTACTTTTCTTATTTCTCACCTAATTCGAAGTTGGCAAAGTCCACTAGGGCGGAGGTAATGTAAATAATATGGTTCAAGTCCTCGTGCACGGTGCACATTCAAAATATATAGAGCTTCATGTTTTAATGATGTTGGTTTCAGGTATTAGCACTGATCTCCTTGAGAAGAAAGTTTGCCCAATATGTTCCTCCACTAAATGTAGTGTGGATGATTTGCTCCCTAACTTATCTCTTAGACAAGCAATTGAGCATTTTCTTGGCTCTCTCTCACCGAATAATCTGTGTCAACTTGTTCCTGGTGAGAAATCTTTGATCACACGATCATGCATCATGAGTTGTAATGACAGGATAGACACCTTTTTATTTATATGGTAGTGGTTCATTGTTAAATACAGATGGGGAGTCTGGAATTCAAGCTAGGGAAATTTCGTGTGCTATAACTGTTATCCAACGGGAACCTGAAATGCCTCATTCTCCCTCAGCTACTGGACATGGATCAAATCAAGTTTTGACAGATACATTTTATGCGCCACTTAGGAGAAGCACACTACAGAATATGCATCCATTTGATGGACAAATCTCTCAATGTGTTCAATTCAACATGCATGGTGTAGCGGCAGATGGAGGGGACCAGCTTCTTAATTTATGTAACACCCATGTTCACGATGAAGGTATTTGCTCTTAAACATAGACAGCTTACAGCTTTGATGTCATAATGCAAATGGTCGTTACATTTTCAGAAAGCACTTAGTTTCCTTCGAGAGCGGTGTTCATATTTTTGCAAACATCGCTTTCATAGGTTCATTTTTATTATTTAGCACTAAAATGTTTGGTGAGGGTTGTATTGACACTTAATACTGTCATGGAAAGTTTCTGATCTTGTTTTCGTTTTCTTTATGGTCAATTTACTCCGAAACAACAATTTTCTATGCAAAAGTATGGAGTTGAGGTCACGTAGGTTGCAGAATAGGTATAGGTCTATTATCTATGGAAGGAAGGGTAACTTCTTTGCTAGTCGTATGCAATGGCGGGCCTAGGCACTGGAGCTGAGTATGCAAAGTGCTAGCACACTACACTACATAGAGCACAAATGGACTTCGATTCTGTGACAAACTGATGCTTGATAACTACAAAAAAATAATATTGAGCTTCATTATAAATATGGACATTAGAAAATCAACATACTAGCTTTAAAGGCAAAATAAAAACATAGATTGTAAATTTGTAAATTGTAATAGTATATGACATATACTATGTATGTAATGTGTTAATTTTTTAATGTTAAATAAATCCAATTTATCTAGATGGATAAGCCAAATAAAAGATATCTAAATATTGGATAAATAGCACTGAAAAATGAAATAAATAAATCACAGATGATTCATATATACTTAGTGATTTAACAGAGAAAAAAGAAAAAAGAATGTCTACACTTATGCTAAATAAAATAGTGGTCTAGAGAAAATAATGAATATAATTGATTACTTGTATGCTTGATATTAAAGAGAAATATTTTAAAATAAAATCTGAAAATGCAGTGATGAGTTGAAATTGGCTGGAAGACAAAGAGTTGACAGGCAAAATAGGTTTAGTTTTTGTTTTTAGATTGGATTTAAATTTGAATATTCGATTTTAGATTGGGCATGCATAGTCTCATTTTGAATGTACTTTAATGCTTTCCCTAATGACTTTTTTAACGATTAGTTAATAATTCCTCCATGAGCTTTGACGTTTCTATTTATACTGCAGCAGAATCTACCATGAAGAGGAACGAACAACCATATGTCCGCACAGGAGGTAATATTTGTTATTTTAAAGCGCTATACATTTTTCTTGAAATCTGTGACGCATCGACACTTCTAAAGAGTTGAATTATGCGTGTTGGACACATTGGGTACACACTGCCACACTGCAACATGCATGCGTCACAATATGTATCCCACCCCTAATATGAGGACACTTCAAGAACCAAAATGCAAATCTTTACATTTCCTAGGTGAGAAGGGAGGACACAAAGTGATAGAAGGTGTTTTGAACTAGTGATTATAGGCTTACAATTGAAACACTTATGACTTCTTTGGGTCTTTTTATGTTTTTCTCTTCGAAAACTGAAAATTGGATTATGAAAATCAGAAAAATGTTCTTCTTTTTATAAAATTAACATGATTATTACAAGTATGGCTCATTGTTTTCAAATGGTGGCCATGGACCATGGTGGATGGCGGTGGCAGAAATATAGCAGAACTGTAGAAAAATGTAGCATATACATGTTATTTTTATTATTTGTACATCCGGGACTGTATAGATAAGAATTAGAGTTGATATAGGTCTCTAATTCTTAGATTAGCTCGCAGAATAGATAGAATAGATAGATCCTACTTTTTAGGATCTGTAACAACTTAACTTTATCTGTAACTTGTATATATATCATTGCCGGATGGCTCAATAATACACAAGGAAGATTAATTCTTCAAACTTACAAGAACACTATATGAAAATTGTGAAGAATAATTGGTCCATGGCGGGGCAACATGGCGGTTTTCGGCCATCCGCCATAATTTGCCATCCACCATTAATAACACTGGTAAGACTGCATTTTGGTCTATTACATAACACACACATCTTTAAAAGCAGAAAACCAAAAACTGGCAGCGATGCCAAAGTGCCAAACATACCCTTAATTTGATGTATGAACATTGGCTTATGTAGTTTCCACGTCCTGTTGTACTCATGCAGCATAGGTTTTAAAACATCAACATAAAGTTGTTACATGTTTACTTTTCAGGCCTGCAGACGAAGTGTTGGGCTACTGGTAGGCTTAAACAGGTACATTTGAGAAGTATTTATGCCTGCTATGTGTGTGAAGTGGGTTCTCCCATAAATAATGCATATCTTAATTGCTGCACTTCTGTCTAGGGCTTTAGGCATCAATCTTAGTGGTGATACCTTAGTAAATGAAGCTTTTATGGGAAAATTGATATTTGGTGGTACAAATTTTACTGAAAAAAATGAACTCTCCGTTTCATCTACTTATGTAATAAACTAATAATGGAACTCAGGTCGGGCGCACTTGTTACATTTGTGGCTCCCCGGAACATCTTATGAAAGAGTGTCCTTCAAATTGTCATCTCATGCCTCCGTCAGGTTTTTATACAATTTCAACTGCAGACACGTGAAATTCAAAATCACAAATTTTTAATACTTGGTTACCTTTGTGTTTAGGAAATCATATGCCTATGGGAGGGATGCCAGGCTATCCATCGCCATATTGGAACAGCACTATGTATTCTCCATTCACACATATGTATGGGAATCCTGGAATGATGCCTTTCAATCCATCTGTTATTCCTACTGCAAACTTTGGTGCTTCTCCCTACATGCCTATGATGCATAGTGGAATACCATTTAACGGGTAAGTTGTATATATAAAATTCGGGTGTGTATGTCACTAGCTCAAAGTAAGATCTGCCCTTCTGTTTTTATTTTTATTTTTTCCTTCATTGTTTTATTAAGTTGTTATTTCATTTGTGTGTTTTTTGTATTTTTTTTCCTTAGTTTCTACCTTTCTGCAGAGTTGTAAGAAAAGACAGCAGTATGGCATATTTGGCTGGAAACCATGCTGAACAGCTGTTACACCAACATGAGTGTCTTTCAAACTCAGACAAGTAATTTATTAATAAGATAAATCTCTAGTGTTTGATATTTACTTGAGCTTCCTATTCAAAATCAAATTGGCATGCTTAGACTTAGTTATCGTGCAGATTTAGAGGAAGGCACTGTGATGATAAATATGAGAAAGAACGGCTTCAGTACAAACATCCTAAAGACAGGCAGGCAAGTACAAGTAACTCAGATGACAGTTTTGGTCGAAGATCAAAGAGGAAACATCAGCACGTTGACAGAAAACGTGATAAAAGTCCTCACTCTTTCAGTGCTGGAAGGGACAGAGCATTGCTTCATGCTGAGAGGTCAAAGTCTAGCTTCGAGGATAAGTGTGAATACCGCCATAGTAGAGACACTAGAAAACATTATGAGAGAAGGGGACATAGTGGCAGTGATTCTAGTTGGGGTCAACACCATCATGCCCTAAAAGAGGAATCTGAGCGTGATTCCAGTCATAATCATAGGCACCATGACAAGCACCACAGAAATGAACTGCTTGATGAGAGAAAGGAAATGTTTGATGGCTTGTATGGAGATTGTAGAGCTGATTACCCTCATTACAAAAGAAAAAGAGCCTAATAGAAGTTGTGAGGAAGCACAAACATCATTATAGGTGAATGATCTGGTTTATTTTCAGTTTGCCAAGGTACTGTGTATAAAGTTGTTTTGTGGTGGTTCTAGCTTATAGTTTTGATCAATGAGCTCCATATATTAAGATATACCTATAATCCTATTGGTATGAATATATTTATATACGGGATTATCAAAATGCATAGGTATTCTAGTATCTAATTTCAATCTCTGATTGGCTATGTGATACAGATCCGTTAAAAAGAAGTCGGCTTTTGGACAGTAACATTTTTTTAATAACTTTTATTTAAAATTTGCTTACTAATCCTATTCACTTCTTTAGTGTGGAATATGGATGCTAGCAAAGGTTATAACCAGAACACATTCTGGTTAGTCATTAGTTTGGATCCATTTTATAAGCTGCCCAACCACCGCCTACGAAAAGGTAATGTAGCTGATCGAGGTATGTTCTCTATTCAAATCATGGCAATTTATCCAGTGTTTTCACACTTAATAGAGTTCTGCTCAGCACTTTGAGAGTTCTCTATTCTCTGCAAAATTATGGCTCCTTCCTGCAAAGGCTATAGTTTCTGTTTCTTTTTCCCTTCCCTTCTCTTCCATCTATGATTCTATATAGATCTTCTAAGGCTCATTTTGTCCATCAAATATTCATTTATTCTTTTTTACCACCATCTGCTGAAAATTTAATATTAACTGTTTGAAAATGTATTTTTTTTATAAATGTTCAACAATGATGTACTTCCATTATCCCAAAATTAGTTATGTATGTGATGTGGTTTTAAGTATTATAAAGGAGGCACTTTTTGGGTGGTGGTACGGTGGTAGTAATTTTGTATGCCTTTTAAGTATCAAATGACCATTTTTTGGGGGTAGCGGGAAGGTGGGGGCATCACACCCCTTTTATGCTCTGGAAGTATCTACATTGTTGTACTCCATTTACTTTTTGTTTTATATAAATTTTATTTATGTAGTTAGATTTTTTAAGGGGAGCCTGGCGCACCGGTTGCGGTGTTGCCGTGTGACCGAGAGGTCACGGTTTAAGCCTTGGGAACACCCTCTTGTCAAAATGACGAGGGGAGGCTTGCCCCTTATACACCCTTGTACCGGGACCCTTCCCCGGATCCTTGCCTTGCGGGGACAAAGATGTGCACCGGTCTGTCAAAGAAGGATTTATTTGTTTTTTGTTTTAAAAATTGGGGACATGGTGTACCACAAAACACTTTTTTTGTTCACCTCCATTTCCCCACATTTAAGATGAGATTTTTTCAACAACACGGTACACGACTTTGTACACGCGTTCTTCAAGTTTGTAAATGCTCGGTCCCACACAACTTTTTCACCCGAAAAAAAGTTCATACTATTTTTGGTCGTTTACCTTGTATTGTTGAGAACTGTCACTTTTCTAACTCCTTCAATTACACAATTCCTGTTGCAAAGATTTCTTTTTTTTCCCCATCCACTTCCTCGAGTTGAAACCCGAATACTTTGTAGTTGATATCCCTTCACTATTGTCTAGATTTAGTTAGAATGGGAGTCTAGCACAATGCTACAAAGTGTTCGTCATATGACCGTGAACTCGTTGGTTAGGTAGTGGAAACTATCCTGAGGTTATTTCAGCTCATCAAGCTTTGGCGGCTTTATCCTTTCCTGACAGAGGTCACACGTGTCGGTGGATAGGCTAATCAGTGGGGCGAGTCTAAGGGTAGCCCTTTCATGTTAGACTCTATCAGGACTGGATCTAGATTCTAAAAGCTTCAAAGATTTGCATATCATATTCTTATCGAGATTTTTATTCCATTTAGATTGACAAGCATATATAAATATTTTTTTTGCATAAATCTTCAAAGATCTAAAGCTTTTAGTTCATCTCGATAAAATAGCTTCAAAGATTTGCAAATTATATTCCATTCCAGATTTTGATTCCATTTAGATTCACACAAGCCTATATAAATGAAGTTTTGCCAGTTATAAAACATTGTAGTCATCTTTATTTCTAATTTAATTATGACGTTTCTAATGCAATCTATATAAAAACAAAAAACAAAAACATCACATATAAGTATGACATTCAATAAAAACATAAGAGTAAAATGCATAAATGGTCCTTCAACTATCATCAACATATCGTTTTGGTCCTCGAACTATTAAGGATGTTTTTACTTGGACTGTAATTTGTTGGTCTGGTCTGAACTGGTATGGTTTGGTCTGGTTTCTTTGTATTTTTATAACTATCCAAGTCTGGTCTGGTCTGGGATGAATTACAGTCTAAGTAAAAACATCCTAAATCTATCATTTTAGTCCTTAATCTATTTCATCTATATTAATTGTGTCCTTCCGTTAAATTTGCCGTTAACTTTGACGGAAGCTAATTAATTTATTAACATCTCATAATTTTAAACATTTTGGAACAATACAACCATTCTTAAAAATTAAGTAGCTAATCTAGTTTTTTTTTTGAAATATACATATATATACACATACACACTTAAAAATTACAAATAAATAATATAAAATCAAATGTAGGGCCTAAATAATACGTAGTATATACGAGAGAATCAAATAATAAATTATATACATTTGAGCAGATAAAATTAAATAACAAAACGAGGGTGATTGTTATTATTAATAATTATATTAAAAAAAATTAAAACTAGGTATGACTAAAATTCACCTACTTTCTCAATTCATGACCTCGTTAATCCCCCCCCCCTAAAAAAAAACAATACTCCATATTTAAATTCATAATAGTTAATAAAATAGATAAATAAATTTTATGGACTAATTTGCCCTTACATATTTTTTTGATGAAAGTTTTTGAGAATCTTCTTCATCAAGTCTAGTTTACTCATACTAAATTTCAGCTAAATATTTAATTAGGAAGGTTGTCAAATGAATTTTTGAAGATAACTGCGTAGTTAAACAACACAATACATTTCAGAAAAACATTTGACTGTCTTCCCGGTTGAATTTTTATCTGAAATTTGGTATGGGCAAATTAGACTTAACAAAGAAGATGCTCAAAAAAATTTATCAAAAAATTCTAACAGGAATCATCCCAAATGGGGCGTAATTTGCACCTTTTAAGTTAGTCCGAGGGTCTATTTGACCCTTTAGCCTTTGTTTAATAATTTTGATGGTTTTATAATATATTGAAGTCATTGATGATAATTGTGATAATTAAATATTTTTTTAATTATTTGATGATTAACTTGTCATTTCAAAGTGTTAATTGTTTCGTAAAACTAAAATGAGAACATTGATATGGGATGTCCAAAAAAGAAAGAAAAAAAGAACCCTGGGACAGAGGGAAAATAAATATTTTAGGATAAATAATTATGGTGTTGCCGTTTGATAACCCGAAATATTTTTGAAGAACATTGTTATTTTAAATAGATTAAGAGCCAATTTAGTCGGTAAACCTCTCAAAATAGACACAGATAGTCAGATACAACACCTCTATCGAGAAGTTGAACATGTCTCAAAAGGATGAACACCGGCCAAACACACACTAGCTTCAAGCCTTCAACCCTGGCAACACAAGATAAGGATGACTCTGCTGCACTAAGAACCTCCGCACCAGACCACGAGGTTCCAACTTCCAAGTCAAATTGAGGTGGCGCAAATAAGCTCAACACTCGCAACACACTCCACTGATGGGAATTTAAAGATCCCGGAAAGTAATTAAGTTGGGTCAAAACACCATAATATAAATGATGCTGAAGATCACATTATTCAACGCTGAAGAATTAACACAGAGACGATTCAATAAAGAGGATTGGTAATCTAAAAACAATTCTGGTTGAGAAAAGCCGCACTTTAGAAGGAGGAGAGTTTGATGACAACTTACACCTGTCAATTCCAGAATGGACAGAAATCCTTAACAGCTTCATCCAAAAAGTTAAGACAGTGTAGAAAGCTGTTCTGGGTGCAATAAAGCAGAATCGTCTAGTGGGACTTAAATAGAAATTTTTTCTTCTGTGGTGATTGAATTCTAAGTGAAAAAATACCTAGACAGGGGCTCTCAAAGTGAGGATGAATGAGAGGGTTTCACTACAATTGTTTCAAGAAAGAAAAGGAATGAACAACAAATTCAAGATTATTACATGGGATATGACAATGATCAGAATCAAATCCACCAACCCGTGATCACCAGCGATGAGGCAAAACCACTACACTAGATGATGACATCGTGAAATACCAAGAAGAATTCGAATTCCATTCGCCACATTAGCTTGTCAAAATATAGATATATTTTGAAATTAAATAATTAAAAATATAAATATATTTTTGAAATAAAAATAAAAATACAATTTATATCTACAAAATTGCATTAGTGGTTTGTTTACATTTGGAACACAAATATATTACTATGGTCACATGTGTCATTGCCTGATTATTATTACCATTGCCACATGTGTCATGCCACCTTGAAACATGTCTTTGTGATCGGTCTAAATTTTTTCGATTATATTTATTCATGCAAAAATTCAAAAAGAGAACGAATACATTTTTCGACAAATTTCTGTCCGTTGGCGACAATGATTTCAAGCGCAACCACAGACGCTACTATATTTATTAAACAAAGATTAGTTAAATTTTTAAAAAAATGAAGACTAGTTTTACTTTTATCTTCCAAAACTATCAAAGTAAAATTTTGGGAGAATTTGAGTTTGCACCCCCATATTTTGGATGATATTTGATTTTGCACCCATTTTTAAAATCATTAATGTATGCACCCCTTTAGCCCAAAAATTGTGAAGGAGTGGGGTGCAAAGTCAAATGATTTTATAGTGAATTGGGGTGCATACATAAATGATTTTGAAAATAGGGTGCAAAGTCAAATATTACCCAAAACATGAGGTGCAAAGTCAATTTTCCCCTAAAATTTTTGTCATTTCAAATACTATTAGAGGTTGTTTGGCAACCCTCATTTTCAGCTTATCAAGCTTATCAGCCAACTTTTTTATCAAACACGTAAATTTTGCTTTCGCGCGTTGAATTGTGTATTAAGCCGAAAAAGTAAGGTTTGAGTTACTTTTCTGGCTGTATTGGCTGAAGTTACTGTAGATGATCAATTTAGCTATTTTTACATATAATTTATTCTTTATTTTATTAATAAAATATATTTTAAAAATATTTTTTCTTGTATCAGTAGAATCAGCCAATGCAGTCACTTCAGCCAGAACTTCATAAATTTCAGCAGAATCAGCCAAAACAGCCGATTTTCGTGCTACCAAACGAGCTCTTAGTGTGTAATTGCTTTTTGTAAGTCATACATAAGCCATAAATAAATTTAAAAAAATGATCAAAATATTTTTTTGGCAACTTGAATATCTAGACAAAAAAGATCAAAATATATTTTTGGCAAAATATATTTAATTCTAGACATCTAGTCTTACCCAATCCGCCAGTTTACTCTACTATCCTAGATTCCCAGTCTAGTTACAATGTGATACATATATGTTTTATTATGCTCTAAGTTATAACTTGATTTGGTTTAGTATGCGATTGAAATAAGCCTCTGAAGTAAGAGTATTTCATCCACAATTCAAGATTAAGGGTAGGTTTGCAAAAATTAAAAGGGAAAATCGCATTTTTAGTCTCTGAAATAATCATCATATTGAAATATCAGACTCGTGTTCCCTAGTTTGTAAATGTCACCCTTCAATTATCCAAATCGCTGCAAATGTGGTCCTTTGAGAGGTGAAATGTACAATGTGGGTGAGAAGTACATTTCACCCCTTCAAGGACCACATTTACAGCAATTTGGAAAATTGAGGGGTGTTATTTACAATCCCAGAAATACGGGTCTGACATTTGAATTAAAGTGAAAAGTGATTTTCAGATTTTGACTTAAAAAAGCAAAAAAAAAATGTTTTCAAGTGACAAATTATGTTTAACATAAACACTTAAAAAGCTAAAAGCTGGAATATACTTTTTACCTTTTCTATTACGCAAAAAGCATACTCCCTCGTCTCAAAAAAACTTCACAGTTTGACTAGCACACATATTAAGGAAATAAACTTACTGGGGAGTAAATTTTACTGTTTGGACACTGTTTGACACTGTTGACACTGTTTTGATTTAGATAATTTGCCAAATAAGAAAGTGTGAAGTTAATTTTGGGACATCCATTTAAAGAAAGTGGGAAGTTGTTTTTGGGAGGGAGGGAGTATATGTTACCAAATACTACCAACTTTACTTTTCTAAATTAATTTTTTTCAAACACTATCAATTTGTAATATTAATCATTTTTTCCAAAATCACTTTTAAAATGGTTTTTTTAAAGCAAAAACATTTGCAAGCACTCCGTAAACATGACTAGAAAAGTTATTTATATCAATTTATTTTCATTATTTAAAAACATAGATTAATTAAAAATTGTTACTCTAACGTTCTAATTCTAAATTATAAAATAACTTAGACGAAACTAACTATATTAATAACATGAGATAATCAAAAATAAAAAAAGAGAAACACATTATCGATTTGGTAGGAAAAAAAATCATAATGTTGAGTGGATCAATTGAAAAAAGAAATAAGTGATGGAGTATATGGTCCGGGACACCCCGACCCACATACTTCCACTACTGTAATCAGGCCCAACAGGCTCAAACAGGCCAAGCCAACAGGCTCAAGCATCCCACAATATGCAAAGGGCGGCCTTCGGCCCCATGGCCGAAGGCTACCAGTGACGGAATCGATCTCAGAGACATCACAGGAGAACAAGGCTCAAAACATAGCCTTCGGCACATACAGTCTTCGGCCACATAATGTCTTCGGCCACGCAATGTCTTCGGCCACGCAATGCCTTCGGCCACACAATGCCTTCGGCCACACAATGCCTTCGACCACATGATGCCTTCGGCCACAGAACTATCGACGAAGATTCCTTTTAGAGACAGCCAACCACCGCATTTAATGCGACGTCACATCCACCTATCGCATTTAATGCGGTGCACATGCGAGTGCCGGTGCCACCCCAATTGAGGTGACTTCTCGGCCAACAGATTGTTGACACGTGTAAAGAACCCCTCGGATAAGCTACCCTCGGGTACACTACCCTCGGATAAGCTACCCTCGGGTACACTATAAATAGCAGCCCATTTCCCCATTGTAAAGAACAACAAGTTCACATATCGAATATACTCTCTCTCTCTTACTTATTTGCTCTGAATTCTCTCTAGTTATTCTCCGCAATAACCCCTCGGATAAGTTACCCTCGGGTACACTATCCATCAATAAGGATGTTTTCTTTTGGATTGTTTTCTTTTTCAGACCAAACCAGACCAAATCAGACCAAACCAGATCAAATTTCCATAATTATAAAATACACAGGGACCAGACATTTATCAGACTAGACCAGAACAACAATTTTCAGTTCAAAAGAAAATATCCTAAGTTTGGCAAGTGGCGTGGTTGTGGCGGAACAAAAAGTGATAGAATCCAATGAGTCAACGACCCAAATTGTGTATGCTTAAAAGTGACGTAACAAAAAATGAAATCAAAGATAAAATTGTTGCACAATAGTGAAAATTGGGTGACACCTATAGAAATATGTAGATTTTTGAGTAATTGTCTTGTTTTTTCATTTTTGAATATTTTCCTATTATTGTTTCATTATCAAACACAATTATATTTTTCTTGCCCGTATTAGTATTAGGGGGAAGAGGTAGGTAGTATTTTTTATCAGAATTGAAAAATGGTATTGGGGGTCTCGTCGACGAGAGACTCTGCTATGGCGAGCAGCGGAGATATCGGTTCAAGTGGCCGTAGTGCGGCCGGCTCTTCTGCTCGCTGCGTCGGATTTCGGAGCTTTCCGCAGGCTCAGCAACCGGAGATTATGAGAGCTGCTGAGAAGGATGACCAGTACACTCTCTTCGTATATGAATCCTGCCGTGATGCATTTCGTCACCTCTTCGGTTCGTTTCTCTCCTTCTCCTTTGTTACTATCAACTAATTTATACTTTTTCTAATTTATTGGCCCTCTTTCTTCGGTTCTTCCCCAGGTACAAGGGTTGCATTATCTTACCAGAATGAGGTACTTTCATGTACTAGTATGATACGATACTATTCGCGTATATCATTGCACTAGACACTTATGACGCAATGGCATGTGCACAATCATTCGGACATTACGTGATTGCTTTTAGAAAGAAATACTCTCTTGTCATTCTTACACATTCTTGCACATTATTGTTAAAGAATTTGTGTTTCACCCTATCTCTTTCACATTCTTATACATTTCTCTCTTTCTTAATTCCCGTGCAAAACTCACTTTAGAAGATAAGTCGGGGACAGAGGTAATACATACATATATTTCTCCACATTTTGAGCTCCTTCGTTAACACCAAAATTGGTTGAGACCTTGTATGGTAACACTTAGATTGACTGAATAGGTTGATGAATAGGTTGATTATGCTGAAATTGATGAAATTTTTCCTGAATCTACCGAATTATGGAAAAATTATGTTTAAAATTTACGGGGTATTTTACTAATGAAGTAAAGAAAAATGTATGAATGTAGCTAAAATGGTTCTCTAAAGAAACTTCGATCAATTCAGCCAGAAAAACAATTTTAACCTTAGTTTTTTTATAATTACAATGTTCAACATGCGAAATCAAAAGTTACATGTTTACTAATAGATTTGGCCGCTACGCTGGAAAAAGGGTTAACAAAAGGGCGTCGAATCTGCTGAACTGAAATTTGTTGAATCTGTTGAAATTGCTGAAATTACGATTGAAATTGTTGAATTTGCTGAATTGTAAAAATGTTATATTTAAAATATAAATATAAGGAAAATTATCGTAATACGAGTCAAAACATTTGAGAATTTCAGTAGTGTTGTCTTTTTCCCCAAGTAAGAGTGCATTACTATCATCTTTAAAATTTACTGCCATGTTCTGACATTATCGGACTTTAAATGTGACATTATTTTCTAAAATTACTAATAATTTCTCCTATATAGGGATATAAAAACATAACACTTATATTTTGGAATTTTCAAACATTATTACACCTATTTAGGGATTATTTTTAACAAAATAAAGAAAAAGTAGCTAATATAGTCCTTTTTAACGATTTCAATCAGAAATATAGCTCCAACCTTACTTATTTTGATTATTATAAAAATCAGCATGTGAAATCAAATGTCATGTTAGGTAAAAAATTGGTCGATCCGTTGTTGAGACTTGAGACTGATTAGCTGAAAATAGGGATTACCGGACTGGCCGTTAGATCTTTCAACTTTGAAGTATGAATGTATGATTAATTAGAAGATATAACTGAGCAAAACACTATGTTTTTTTTATGGTTGATTTCTCAATATCAATTTTACAATATGAGTATATCTGTATATGACATGACCATAGCTACTGTACCAACTCATCAATGCCTCGTCATATTTTCATGCAAGTAAAATGATTTGATGATAATGACAATTAATGTTTTTGAATTTCATCTCATCATTTCTTCTTTAAAATATTGAAACCTGAAGGGCATCCACTTAAAACATTACGACTATACTTTTTTTTGCATGAATTTATAGTGTTAAGTGATTTGGATCATTAATTCGCAGTGTTAATTTATAGTGTTAACTGAATTTAATGATATAAATAATGACGAATCAAGAATACAATCCTGAGTAACCGGAGCAGTTCTGCCATTTGACTTCCATGGGGTTTTTGTGTTCTGCAGACAAAACTTCTTGGACAAATGCTTTACTTTTTACTCACAACAGGTGCGGGAAAGCAAACATTAGGAGAAGAATACTGTGACATCACACAGGTGTGGGTCATAATAAACCTTAACCAGACATTTGTTTTCTTTTTGTTTGTTGTTTCTACTCTTTTAGTTCATAGCCTTGACTTAGATTGATAAAACTGCTAATATTTTGGATGCACCCATTATAAGGCATTTAGTTGAGGAAAGTAACAGAAGTCATGGTATTTAAATATCAATATCTTTTCTACTTCTAATTTTGAACTGTTAATGAACACATTTATAGCCTGATAAAGGTTGTGTTACTCGTGCACCGTTGTTTCTCCTTTGATAAGAGCTACTAAAGCCAGTTATCTACAACATTCATCCTGAAACTTGTCTTTTGCTCCCCATATCCCATAATAATGCTCCCCATGTTGGCCAATTTACAAGTGTACCTTTTTGGAGAAAGAAGACAAGGGATGTTGCTGGGTGAGGCGTACCGTGTGGAAAATTAGCACTATAGTTGGATTTATGAAAAGATGCCGAACTGGACCTGGAACACGAGCTTTATAATATACGACATAAATTAAAAATTAAAAATCTATATAACTCAATGGTTCAGTATAGGTACATATAGATACAGTTGTGGATATATATTTATGTATTGATTTTTGAACTATTTTATTGAAATTTCATCAACTTAAAACTAAATACTTCCTCCGTCTCTTTTTAGTTGCAACACTTAGGGCCTGTATACTAACAAAGATATTTTCCAGTTTTTTGTTTTGGTTTTTCGTTTTCCAATTTTCTGTTTTCATTTTCCAGTTTTTCCATCTTCAATTTTTTGTTTTCATTTTTTAGTTTTCCAATTTCAAATATGAAAACATGTTCATACAATTTTTTTCACTCGGTTCTCTGACTGACAAAATATGGAAAGTATGATCCCAGTCCAGAACCAAACCTAGTACAACCCAAGTAGGATATCGGGTCCCACATATAGGAAAGTCACAACCGAAATTGATCGGTCCCGACCGATCTCAACAGTTAGTTTGATGAATTCTTTTCTCATTTCCCTATTGGTTGACAACTCAATGGCTCTTTTAAAACTCTTCACTTTAAAAAATGATTTCGAAAAATCGAGACTGAACTGTCTGGTCACTGACCGACCCTGACAGGGATCACCGGGTCGTTTACGGGACTGGCTTAGGACCGCCTGGTTGTTGACCGGACCAAACAAAGATCGTTTGGTTATTTGACAGACAAGATGGAGATTGTCGGGTTATTGATCAGACAGGACGGGGACCATTGTGTGATTGACCGAACAGGACGGTGACCGTCGGGTCATTGACCGGACCAAATGGGGACCGCCGAGTAGATGACTAGACGGGACCCGACCTTATCGGTCCGACAATCAATCAAACCGAACAAGTACCATCTAATCGTGGATCGGATATGACATGGGCCGTCACCGGACCGGACAGGGACCGCTGGGTCATGGGCCGGACCGGACATGCACCGCCGAGTCATGGACCAGAACGGACAGGGACCGCCGGATCATGAACCGGTCCCTGACCGTTAAGTCGTGGACCGGACCAGATAGGGACCGGCAGTTCGTCGATCGGACCGGGACCATCGGGTCGTCAACCGGACTGACACCGTCGGGTCATCGATCGGACTGGACCGGGATTGTTCGTTCGTCGACCGGACCGGACATAAACCGTTGGGTCAATGATCGGACCGGACCACCGTGTTGTTGACTGAACAAAATAGGGACCGTCGAGTGACTGACACCGAGCGGGACCGGATCCAACACTAGGCGTAAGTATGCAAATTCATTGCACCGGAACTGCAGCATCCGCGTTTTCCAAATTTGGAAAACTGGTAAAAGTCACTTCTCCAATTCATTAAGAAAAACAAAGACATATCTCATTTTTTTGGTTTTGGAAAAAGATTTGGTAAACGCGTTTTCTGTTTTCCTTTCTCCATTTTTCCATAATTTTTTTTGGTAAACACGTTTTCTGTTTTCCAGTTTTCTAGTTTTCTGAAAAACTGGAAAACATCTCTGTTAGTAAACAGGCCCTTGACTTTTCACGTTTGACAACGCACAACTTTGACCGTCATTATATTTAATTATGTATTAGTAAAAATAAAATAAAAATTAGATTATAAAACTTAGTAATGAGACGAATTCAACAACATTTTTCAAAAAAAATAATTCACATACATTAATAAATAAAATGTAGTCAAAGTAAAGTACATGAATAGTGTATATATTCCAATGTTGCAATTAATGAGATACGGAGGATAGTATTTTATTAACTTTTGGTCCCGATGACCTGACCTTGCAAAAGTAGATGCATTCCTACAATAACCCTTTGTAGCACGGAAACTCTCGGGAAATAGTATATTTCTGTTTCGGAAACTCTACATAAACTCTTTGGAGACTCTCCAAACAGTTGTTTTTCGAGTAAAAGATGACGTTTCACGTTTTCCGTTTCCTCATAATTTTTGCGTTTCCCGTTTCCTCATGATTTTCGTGTTTCCGTGCAACATAACAATAACCCGAAATGCAATCAATTGTTTTGGCCTGTGTCTGTGTTTTAAAATCTAGTGCTGTTTTTTGTGTGATTCCCCAATTGCTGGTGGGGGGATATTGTCTGTATGCCATGGCCTGACATTCTATAGTCCATGTTACTCATAACTACTTTTGAATATGAATAACCCATCATGAATTGATTTTAGGTTGCAGGACCATTTGGCCTTCCTCCAACTCCAGCAAGACGTGCTCTTTTTATCTTTTATCAAACAGCTGTTCCATACCTTGCCGAAAGAGTCAGGTAATATTTTCTTTGACTGTTGACGTTGATTGATTTATAATTCCTTTTTCCTTGGTCATTTCAATGTTTCTTATATGTTTAAGGTAAATAAAATTTGACTGTTTGTAGCTCTAGACTTGCTTCCCAAGCCATCACCATGGATGATCGGTTTGATGACGGTTATCCATTTGGTGTTATTTCTGACTCAATTGGACGAGTCGAAGCATCCACAGCTATTGTCGCTGAATCATCATCATCATCAAGAGAATGCATGTCAGTTCTATCAAGGTTGAAGGCAAATATAAGACAATGTTGGCTATATGCAGTTCAGAGGTGGCCCTCAGTATGCTTCCTTCCATATAAATTATTTGTTACATTAGTAAAGTATATTTTATTAAACACATAATGTGAAATGCAAAAAAGACAACATGTTTAACCTTCCAGGGTTGTTCAACCGGTTCGTACCCAGGAGCAAAAGTTATCTGAGGTCACTAATTCGAATCCCTTGGGCTACTGAAGGTTTACATAGTCACTAACTTCAGGGCCCATGGGATTATTCTTTCCAATAATGGTATTGTTGAAATATAAACTAGAATAATATTGAAAAGTGGAGGAAAGATTTTCTGTGTTTTTCATTGGAGGGTCAAGGCCCTATATTTATGTTACAAAGATGGAATATTCCTATATAAGATGCTATACAAGTATATTGTCTAGAGTATATTCCTAAAGCATATTCTTAGATACTTTCACACCCTCCTCAAGTTGGAGCATAGATGTTTATCATGCCCAACTTGTTACATAAGTAATCAACTCGAATCTCATTTAGAGCTTTAGTTAATAAATCTCCAAGTTGTTCTCCCGTCTTCACATATCTGGTAGAGATTAATCCTCTTTGTATCTTCTCTCGAATAAAATGGCAATCAACCTCAATATGCTTTGTTCTCTCATGAAATACGGGATTGTTTGCTATGTGTATAGCAGCTTGGTTATCACACCACAACTGAGCAGGCATTAGTGTCTTCAATAAATGGTGTATCCATATTATCTCACATGCGGATTGCACCATAGTTCGATATTCCGATTTAGCACTAGAACGAGAAACCACATTATATTTCTTACTCTTCCAGGATACAAGATTACCACCAACAAAGACGCAATAACCAGATGTAGATCTTCAATCATCTTTAGAACCGGCTCAATCATCATCTGCAAAGCATTCTACTCTCATGTGGTCATGGTTTTGATAAACAATACCTCGTCCTGGTGCTCCCTTTAAGTAACATAATATGTGTTCTACAACAGCCCAAGGCTTATGTCTCGGCTCTCCGATACAAACCTCCTTGATACCTGAACTAGTCTTTTTCGACCTTAATATATGTAGAACAATTCAAGTGCAAACTACTCTTCTAATGCAAAAAGATAGCGACACCAGGTTTTCATTAAAAAGTACAGTGAAATCATCATAGTTATGTGGAATTTCAGTGTGGAACAGTGAATTATTAAAAGTTGATTGTTGTCTACACAAGAGTGCACTAGGTGTGTATGTATTACACAACAAACCATCAAAATGTTTCAGTCATACACATGTTTTCAAACATGGTGCACTTTTTAAGTACAAAAATGTACTCTTATATACAAATGTACAAGTTTTGCATGTTGAACTTTGATAAATGTACTACAATACCACATGTTTTTGTCTTAAAATTCATCTCATCATCATCATGTACACGGTCTTACCCTTGTACTAAAGCACAAAGAGACTGTTTCCGGATGACCCATAGTGAAAAACAGGTCGAAAATTACATGGACTGACTGTTGCTTCATAAAAGAGAAGCGCAGACCGTTTAGTGAGTCATTTTGCTTTATTCCATCATATTCCCAAGCCAAAAAATGGTGAGTCTTTGGCTCCATTGCAAATGATGGAAGCAAAATTCATCTCATCCCTCCATTCATTAAATCAATGGCCAAAAATTGAATCTCATTTTTCACCTAAGAGACTCTTTATTTGAAACAATGTCTGTGTGTCTGTTAACACAGTATGTGATTGTATAATATTTCAGTAATCTTTTATTCGTTTTAAAAAAATATTCTATTTATCACGATATAAACTAAGACCGCCAAAGTCTCCCCTCCTTCCAAGCAGACCCTTGGTTGAATTTCAAAATCCAATATCTGATGTTACCTTAACTCCCCATATAAATGACTTATCTTGAGTTTCATATGTTTTGTATTCCTACATTTCAAATATCTTGCAGTATCAAAAGACATTAGGAATCCATAGAGTGCTTTCTTAACTGACTCAATATATGCTCCTTTGTTTAGGTGCTTCCTTTCGCTCGTGAGGTTCTGCAATTAATTATCCGTGCTAATCTCATGTTCTTCTATTTTGAAGGTGGTTTTTGCGATATAACTCATATATACATATATAACAGTTGCAGAATAAAAAATAAAAAATTCCAAGTATATTCTTGCAAAAGGAAAATAAATCCCCATTGTGTATTTGATTGGTCCATGTGGCAGGACTTTATTATCATTCATCAAAACGTGCATCTGGCATACGTTATGTGTTCATTGGAAAACCAACTAACCAAAGGCCCAGGTATATGTTATAATAAAAAGTAGAGCGGGTTTTCGGTCATTTTGTTTCCATTCTTCATTTGTCATATACTTGTGTGGTGCAGATATCAAATATTGGGGGTTTTTCTTTTCATTCAGCTATGTGTCCTTGCTGCTGAAAGACTGCGCTACAATAATTTATCATCACTTACAGCTTCTGTTCAACAAACACCATTTGGAACTTATCAAACTTTGTCAGGTAAATATTTGTTAGTGTATTATTATAATGATCATCATCTTCATTCCTACTTCGTGCCGCTTTAGACTATGTTTGGGAGTTGAGTTTTGGAGGGAGAAGGGTTAATTTTCATTTAAAAGAGCTATTTTTCATTACCTTATCTTGATAGTTCTGCAAAATGAACGATATAAAGTGATAAAAGTGTGAATCCAATGTCTAAAAATGGGCAGCTCGGTGCACATTGGCATCCCCACAAAGCAAGGGTCTTCAGAAGGGTCCCACCACAATTGTGTATAAGGGGGCAAGCCTTCCCTTGTCATTTTGATAAGACGCCGCTCCCAAGACTTGAACCTTTGACCTCTCGGTCACACGACAACATCTTAACTAGTGTGCCAAAGACTCCCCTTCCATGAACTCAATGTCTAATTCATTTATTAACCATAAACGACACATAATTCTCTTAATTCTCTCAATGTTTATTATCTGTTGAACCAAAAAAGACCTTCTGTTCACCTCCAAAATCTTACTCCAAAACATACCCTTAGTCTGTTTTGATAGAGGGGTTCAAAGGAGATGATTTTGGGAGATGTGTGTGTATATAATTGTATATATATATTTATTAATTATTATATTTGCATCCACAACGAACCATAAGATGTACATATATGTGTGTGCGCGCATGCATGTATGGCTGTATGCACACGCGTACACATAAACACGCGCATACACGTGTACACAGACATAAATATGAGAATTTATAAAAAAAACTTGAGGAATAATACAACATGTGACATATATCTTTCCAATCACCTTTTATTCATTTTTAGCAACTTCTATCAAAATATATAGTACTACCTCCGTCCCACTAACATTGGGACATGAGGAGGTGGTGCGGTTATTAAGAAAAGTGAATATTTGTGGTTGATATTGAATTGATAAAGTAAGAATAAAGTAAGAATGATTTAGAGCCACACAAACTTTACCAAATTTGGTATGAGACAATCTTAGTGGGACGAACCAAAAAGGAAGGATGGGGCAATCTTAGCGGGACGGGGAGAGTATATACTAAGTCCTCCAAAGTATTCAGCCTTGTCCAAATTGGCCCTTGGATAAATATATGTGAGCGCCAACAGGTACATACCTCTCATGTAATTTCCTGTTTTTTTAGGTAAATATGAGAAGGATGCCTGGATGGAGACTTTTTCACCAGTATAGGCTCCCAACACTATGAATTTCACGTTTTGTCTGAAATTGATAAACATCTCAGATAGGATGAATTAGTTCTTTATTTGAGAAATCCAGAAGGGATTTTGTTTGTTGGTTATGTAAACCTAACTAAAAGCTGTGTCTGCTAATTTAAGTCGTCGATGCCGTATCGGTCTGTAGGACACGGTGTGCCTGTTTTGAATGAGGAAGGCAATTTAATTACTGGAGGCTCTGGAAATGGCAGTTTTGCATTTGAGTCCTCATTAGCTTCCGAGGTATGTGTTTTTATGTTGATAGCGTAGGTCTTTCTTGTCTTCAGCATATATTACATTATTACCTATAGGAAACAAATTCCGAAGAGGGAGAAAAGCCATCCCACCGCCACCCCTCTTGGGTCAAATGATGCTAAATTAATATCTTCTTCTGATATGGTGCAATTTATAATTACAATTTTTTTTCAATATAGCAGTCTCATGCAAGTGGACTAAGCAAATGCACCCTTTGCCTGAGCAGTCGTCAACATCCCACTGCCACCCCTTGTGGACATGTATTTTGCTGGTATTGCATAATGATGCACTACTTCCTATTGTTTCAATATGATGACCTCTTTCAAAAAAAATATGATGACAAAAAAAATTGCTTCCCATTGCCGAGTATAATCCTCATGTTCTCATCTTTCCTCCCATCGGTAGGAACTGTATAACTGAGTGGTGCAATGAGAAGCCGGAATGCCCTCTCTGTCGTTCTCCTGCAACACATTCAAGCTTAGTCTGCATGTACCATTCAGATTTCTAATTCTCTGCCGTGTCTCACATGTTCAATGAATCACAATTCCTCCTTTGTGACAATTGTATGCTGAATCATCCATCTCCTGTGTCACTGCCTTTAAGGGCCGAGAATTATCTGTTCAGCCATGATAGGCGTACACCTCATTTGTACACCCCATTTATCTCTGTCAAATTAGGTCACATACAAAACTGTGAAGAAAATTCAATTGAAATTACCAAGACATGGATCGGTGTGCATAAAGGCTTTGGTTCATATGCAAGTACACCTACTAGCACTCTTTTTGTCTGTGCACATAAACTTTTGAAGGTGTAATTATATTGTCAGTGAAGAGATTACAGGCTCTTTAGCTGAATTTTCTTCACACGGAGACGTTTTGCCCGTGATCTAATCTGATGGAAATGTTTGTATGGAAAGGGTGTACGAAAGATCATTTTTCTTATTTGTTTCAAGTTCAAGTTACAACTGCGTTTAATTTGTACACTTAATGTATTAAGTATATTAGTGTTTATAATAATTGACTTATATAGGAATAAACTTAAACATAATTGCACAACAACAACATAAGCCTTAGTCCCAAAAGATTTTGGCGTCGGCTAACATGGATTGATGCATGATATCGTAACCATAATTGCACAAATAGGAGTAAAATTTAAATCTTCCCTAAATAAGACTAAACATTAATTTTCTTCCGTTAATACTCCTAATGTAATTAATCAATATAATTAATTAGGGGTGGACTTGGGCCGGTTTCGGGCTCGGGCGGTTTTTTTTTTTTTTTTTTTTTTTGCTTTCTAATTAACCCCCTTCCTCACCCCCACCCCTCAAGCCTCCCCAAAACACCCAGCCCTACCCTAGCAAAAGAAAAAAAAATGAAAAAATAAAAAAAATACTCGGGCCTGTGCCGGTTCAAGAAAAACAGGGTCCGAGCAAGGCTCACCAGGCGGCCCAGGTCCGCCCAACCCAGGCTAAAGCTCGGAACCGGCCATCCGGTCCCGGTCTCGTCCGCGCCCACCCAGTAGCGGGTCGGTCCGGTTCACGGGCCGGTTCGGCTTGGCCCAGTCCACCCCTATAATTAATGTCCTCTCTCGAGTTTCCTTGCACAATCGGGTTAGTCCAGTGGTGGTTGTGGTGCAAACGGACATTTTTGGAAATGTCTGACGGATACTGGCAGCGGCAGGTAGGTATGGACCCGGGCTGATCCGGTTCCGGTTCCGGGCCGGGCCTGGGCGGGCTTTTTTTTGTTGAATGATGGGCCCGGAACCGGCCCGGGGTGATACCGGGCCTGGTCCGGGTCGGGCCTACCCGGCCGGGTTGTGGGCCGGTTCGGGTCGGGCCGGGCTCGGGCTATTTATTATTATTATTTTTAATTCATATTAGTTGGACATAAAAATTTAAACTGTATTAATTTGAAATATGTAGTACAATTGGAAATTGAGCAAAAATTACAACATGAAATACACTTTTTAATAAATAAGAATCAATCAGAATTTCCGCCATCTTCAGTTGTTTCTTCCATAAAGTGGCGGGTGGGTTCAATGCTAATTTCTTGAGTTCTACGTTTGGCCTTCAACCAATCGTGGAAGCAAACAAGCGTCTCAAGAGGGTTTGCGCTCAATCTCGTCCTATAATCCGTTAGGATGTTGGCGGCCGCACTAAACTCTTGTTTCACAGCAACTGTTGATACGGGCATTGCTAGCACTTGCTTAGCCATCTTTGATAAGATCGGGAATGTTCTCTCTTTTTCCTTCCACCACTGAAGAACGTCAAAGTCATCCCCTTCTTCATACTCAACAGGAAATGTTTGATACAAAGAAAGCTCGTTGATCGAGCTTTGTTCATTAACCAGAGTCGATTTACTTTTTTCCATAAGATTGCCAAATGCAGATTTCAAAATTGATTTTTCTTTAGATGAAGAGATGTTCGTGGCGGGGGAGGGGGTGCGTTACCATATTGTGCATGAAATTCATTAAATAATTGATATAATAAATTACTAACCTCTTGAAATTGTTGTTTCGGGTCTATAGCCTTGTCGTCGTACATAGGCAATGGCCCAAAAAAAGAAGCATAATAGTAATCTAAACATTGCTTCAAAGCAGCAAGTCTAAAACGAGGATCAAGAATAAATGGAATACTATATATATGCGGAATATAGGAATAATATTTTAAAAACTTTTGTTTCATGAAGTCATAAAAATAACTAACGTAAGCAGCATCAGCAAATTCACAAAAAACGCCGGCGAGATTAACAGTTTCAACAAAAAATTGGTTTGCGGTAGGTTTATAAACATGACTAAAAGTTAGAGTTGCATTATTAAAATACACCAAAACATTCAAAACTTTTTCACAAGTGTCGATGTCGGCCTGGTTTATAATATAGTTAGCATATTCTTTTAAAAAAGCAGGAAAATGGTTTTTAAATCTAATAAGCACCTTAATTAAGTTATAAGTACTATTCCAACGAATAGACAAATCTTTAGGAAAAACACAATATTTAAAACGTCTTTCTTTCAAAAACATTCTCCATTGCATCTTAAGTTGAGAACTAGCCCAAATAAGTTTAATTCCCCCCTTCACCACCTCCAATGTAACAAACTAACAATTAACTAGTTTTTATAGGAGATTAATAAATGCAACAATTAACTAGTTTAAGAATTAAACAATTAATTTCGAATTAACTAGTTTACCAATTAACTAGTTTTTATAGGAGATTAATAAATGTAACAATGAACTACTATGATAAGAGATTAATAAATGTAACAAACTAACAATTAACTAGTTTTTATAGGAGATTAATAAATGCAACAATTAACTAGTTTAAGAATTAAACAATTAATTTCGAATTAACTAGTTTACCAATTAACTAGTTTTTATAGGAGATTAATAAATGTAACAATGAACTATTATGATAAGAGATTAATAAATGTAACAAACTAACTAATTTAACAATTAAATAATTAATTTCGAATTAACAAAATTCGAACTATTTGTTTTACAATCTAACAACTTTATTTAACAAGTTTAACAATTAACTAGTTTTTATAGAGATTAATAAATGTAACAACTAACTATTATGATAAGAGATTAATAAATGTAACAATTAACTACTATGATAGGAAATTAATAAATGTAACAATTAGATAATAAGTGTATAAGTAGATATACTTAATATATATATATATATATATATATATATATATATATATATATATATATTTATAAGTAGATAATAAGTAGATTAACTAGTAATATATAATATTATGTTTATAGTATATATAATATAAGTATATTACTATAAGATTAGTAATACACTTATATATAATACTTTAATATATATAAGTATATATTAAGTATATCTAAAATGTAAATATAAGTAAATAAATTAGAGATGATTATATATGTAAATATAATATAATATATGTAGTTATAAATTTGAGAAGATGAAGATGGAGAAGATTAGTAGAGAATAGAGATTAGAGAATAGGAATATTTGGAGAAGATGTGTAGTAAATTGTATAGAAAAAATGGAGTATTTATAGTTTTTTTGTACCCCTACCCCCCACCCCCAACCCCCCTAACCCACCCCTGGACCCCAGGAAGGCTCCCAACGGCTATATAGCCGTTTGGGTTCAATCACAACGGCTCTAAGGGCCTGTTTGGTAGCCAAAAGATTTTTTTTTAAAAAAAAAATAGCCGTTGGCCCGAACCGGCCGGGCCGGGCCTTCATTTTTGTGAACCGTGCCCGAACCGCTAGCCTCCCCCGGGCCGGGTCAAAGCCCGCACCGCCCAATCTGTAACCGGGCCGGGCCGGGCCCGCACAGTGACGGGCCGGGCCGGTTCAGGGCCGGGCCGACCCGGTTTGGTCCATCCATAGCGGCAGGGGACAGCAGGTGGTTGGGGGCTAGGCACTACCGAAGGCTATAGAGGTGTATTTGTACAAACAAACACAATCAGTCTTATTTATGAAGTTTAAAATAATGTAGTCCTATTTTTAATTTAGTTCATATTTTAGTTTTTTTGGGTAATTCACTCTTCTTCCTTAGGAATTGAACATAGATAAATTCGGTCATCGCAATAAAAAAAACCGTATAACGAATACTATCTTCCGTTTTTTAATAGTTGCAACAGTTTGACTTTCACGTTTATCAAGACACAACTTTGATTGTAATTATATTTAATTACTTATTAGTAAACATTTTAAAAAGTTGATATTTTGGAAATTCACATTAATAGAAACTTAATAACATTCTATACATAATAATTTTATTATATACTACGTATATATTAGTAGAAAATCGTGATCAAAGTAAGGTGTGTGAATAGTGCAAAAAACCAACGTTGCAATTATTAAAGAACAAGGGGAAGTATAAAAATACATACAAAATTTTGAGTTTTTTTTCAAACTAATGCCAAACAAAAAATATTTACGAAAATTTTGATGTGTAATAATAAAAGTAAGAATTTAATTAAAAATTATGTTTGGCGAATCTATTGATGGTGCTAGATTGCAAGAAAAAATTGGACTGAATAAACAATTTTTATAAAAAACAGGTTGAGAATTGGATTTGTTGATGGTGCATTGTTGCAAGTAATTTTTTCACCCGGTACGGTCTTCGTTTTTTTTACTTTATATATGCAATATTGGTGTCATGAAACATCACAAAGAGTTATGAAATTTAATATATTACTCCCTCCGTTCCGTTGGAATGTTCCCGGTTTGACCTACACACATATTAAGGAAATAAACTTACTAGGGGGTAAATTTTACCGTTTTGACACTGTTTGGCACTGTTTCGACATTGTTTGACACTGGTTTGCACTATTTGACCCTGCTTTGATGTAGGATAACTTTCCATTTAGGGAAATGAGAACTTTCCAACGGGACATCCTAAAAAGGAAAGCGGGAACATTCCAACGGGACGGAGGGAGTATTTGAAATAGTGAAGTAAAAATATAAAAGTTATAACACTTCAAAGATAGTTATAACTCTATCTGTCCCGCTAAGATTGTCTCATCTTTCATTTTTACTTTGTCTTGTTCAGATCGTCTCATACCAAATTTGATAAAGTTTGTGTGGTTATAAATCATTCTTATTATATTCTTACTTTATCAATTAAATGTAAAACACATAAATCCACTTCTTTTAACAACTGCATCATCTCCTCATTGCCCAATGTTAAATGGACGGAGGAGGTAGTAGTATTTTTAAAGAGAGTCGTCACTTAATTTAGCGACTTCCACTAACCATAGTTTGGCCCAACAGTATTTTGGTAAATACTTTTAACTTAACTCTAATTTTGTAATTTCTTTTATTTAACATTATTTTGGAAAAATTCTAAATTTTTAGACAAGATTGAGACTTTGAGGAGTATGTCAGACATTGCGAGCTTAGTGTCATCCGTGCACTCAGAGATGCTCTAAGTGTGCATCCGTGCACTCGAGATGCTCTAAGTGTGCATCCATGCATGCCTGGTGGGCGAGACAGTTAAATTAATTGTTTTTATACGGAGTATTAGTTTATTATGAACCTATAATAGATACTCTCTGTCCCTAAAACTTTGCCCTACTTTGACTTTTGCGATCTTTTAGGTAGACGTTTGATCGTAATTATCTATTAATATATACCTATAAAATCTATAACAAATTGACATTTGAATAATACATATTACAAAGAATCACATTAAATAATTTTTTAAGATAAAATATTATTAATTTTGAGTAATTAGCGCTCAAAGTTTAACAAGTTTGACTCAAAAAGTCAAAGTAGGACAATGTTTTAGGGACGGAGGGAGTTGAATCACATGATATGATGTATAATGCAGTAAGTTGATACGATATAAAACACTAACACATGATTGTATTTTAGGTAAATTAGCAACACAATTAATTCTGAAAACATTACATATAAAAATGACACATTTCTATCAAACTAGGGGTGAAGCAGTGCGCAGGTTCAACCATAGTCGTGCCTTTGTGTACGCGGCATAAAAATAATATGTTATGAGAATATAAATAGAAAAATTGAGTAGTGAATTGAAAATTGTTAAAATCGTGACCAGTTCAAAAAATAGGTCATAGTAGCTAGCCCAAGTTGGCAATATTACTTTTCTGATTTATTCTCATGTATGTATTGGAGTTTTCTCATTGTTTATATATTTTAGACTTTAATTATAAATAAACAATTAGAAGGAATAACTTTGTAATATTTGTATTACCCATTTTACCCTTTGGGGAGGCTATGACCCCTCGCTTCTACTAAGGTCTGTCACTGAATATGATATGGTATAATATGATGCATGATGATTATGGTGTTTGATAATTAATCTGAGGAAAATGCAAGGTTCATTCCCGAGCATGGATTGGAGAAGCAGGAACCAAAACCGGAACCTATGCATGCATGCCAAGAACATATATAAGCTCAAGGGTGGACCTTAGTTAAAGCCCAAAGGGGCCATGCCCCCTCCCCCTCCCGAAAGAAAATATTTTTTTAGATACTTATGTAAAAAACATCCCCCCAACATATAAATAAATTTCATATTGACCCCCAAATTTTAATTACAAATTTACAAATTTTACGGTGGGGCAAATGACGGGAACATTTGCCAAGTTTTATATCTTTTTTGTGTATTGTATTCTCTACTCAAGTCAAGCATCAAATATTTATATTTCTAATTGTGAGTGTGGTATCAGATTACTTTTGTATTAATTTCATACATCTTTGCAAGGTTTCATTTGGTTTTCCTAAAACCAGAACTTAGATTGTTTATTAGCCTTTTGTAAGACTGATAGTAGTGAGGTTTGTGGTTTAGCCTCTTGAAAACCATTGAAGTTTTCAGTAGATCCTCTTGTAAAATCATTTGTTGAATTTTTTTATTGATCAACTTACAAAATCAATGAGGTTTTGAGTTAGCCCCTTGTAAAATCCAACACTCATTGACAAGGGATGTCATATTAGTGGCTATAGAAATCCTAAGGGAGGTGTCCTTAGGTAGAGCAGTAGGAACATCCGAACCTTTATATATCATTTTGCACTTCATTTGCTTTATAGTTTTCACTTTGATTATTTGTTGCACACATTCTGCTCAATTGCAGTCCTCTGTATTTGCTCTTAATTAGAACACTTCACGCGATATTATAGAAAACTTTGTAAAACATTTCACTCAAGCGAGTAAATGAGTCTTCTTATATTTACCGAGTCTTTTGATAATCGTTACAGTCTACTATTGTGACTCTACTTGTAAAACTACTGAAGTTTTGAAGTTTTTAGTTATTGCCTTGTAAATCTCAATACTCATTGACAAGGATTTGTTTGCCCAAGTTAAGGTGGTACTCTTTTTTATCTCAAGAGAGGTCATATTAATGTGCTTAGAACTCATAGGGGAGGTGCCATTAGGTAAAAGAGTGGGAACATCAGAACCTTTATAAATCATTGTGCTCTTCACTTACTTTATTATTTTTACTTTATTTGTGCACATTATTCTGGTCAATTGCAGTCTTCTATATTTTCTCTTAAATTGAACACATCACACACTACCGTAGAAAACTTTGTAAAACACTTCACTCAGATGAGTAACCGAGTCTTCTTGTAACAGCTTATTGAGATCTAGATTTATTTTTTTATTTCAACACTTGGTACGCACAAACTTTATTAAGGATACCTAATTCCCCCCCCCCCCCCCCCCCCCCCCCCCTTAAGTGTACATTTTCTTTTAGTTACATTATATCAACACACGAATTATAGGATTATGTTACATAACATAAGTGGATAATTAGGATGTGTTTACTTGAACTTGCTGGTCTAATTTGGTATGATCTAATCTGGTCTGAATTGGTCTAGTTTGGTAAATGTCTAGTCTATGTGTAATTTATAATTATTCAAAGTCTAGTCTGGTCTGATCTGAACTGGTCTGAACTGGTCTGTAACTGAAAACAATCCAAGGTAAAATATTCTTAAGCTTAAAAAGAATAAATCATAATATATATTGACTTAGAAAAAAATATCAAAACTAGCGGGCGTTCTTCTTTTAAAAGAAAAAAAAATCATCCTGAGTCTTGACTTTATGACTTAGCCTCTAATGTTCATACTAATCAAGATTACAATAATTAAAATGTAAGATAATATGAAAATACAACTCAAATGTTGCCTAAATATCAATGGTTGCAAGAAGTGAGCTTCCCAACCTCAAGAACACCATAAAAACAAATATAAAAGTTAGAAACTAACTAAAGATTAATTGAGGGTTCAAATAGGAAAGGAAATGATCTCAAATATAAAAGTTAGAAACTAACTAAAGATTAATTGAGGGTTCAAATAGGAAAGGAAATGATCTTTGATAGTCTACTCATGATACTAGAACATATTGGGGCGGAATTTTTGAATCATACCTTCCAAATATTACAATTTATACTCAATAATGTGTTGCACGTCATGTTTTTTTTTTGCAGGTGGAGGCAGATACAATGCTAATTTCAACCATTTCCTCGCATTTTCGTCATACAAGGCAGCCGCTGGTGTGGAACAAGGTCTGGTGTTAATAAAAGTAAAAGGTGATATAGTTACTACTCCTTTATAGTGAAAGTTATGGTTGAAGTTTTAATAGAATAAAGCGAAAAATGTGATTACCAAAAATGAAAGTAAGAAAGGACGCAGGGCATACATTATTTATAGTTTAGCTCCTTTTCAGTTTATAAGGTATAGAAACAACCATTACCCCAATGCCGCAAAACCTTCGACAACCTTACCGTTTTACTAAAGCACTGAAAAACTGTTTCTTGATGACTCATGATGAAAATCACACTAAAAATTGCAAAGATTGACTGCTACTTCATAATCTACTAGTGAGTCATTTTATTTTATTCCATGATATTCTCAAACCAAAAAAATAGTGAATTTTGGCTCCGTTGGAAATAGTGAGTCTTTTGATTTGAGTGTAAGAAAGAATTACATTAATCATTCTTTCTGATTTTGTTATCATTATAATCTACTATTGACTAAATTAGTTCAGAATTAATGTCTAAAGTTGAAACGGATGCAATTTGTGAAATGGTGTAGGCATGGTATGGAAGCGTCCCATTTAGGAAGATGCGTATTTTGATCATAACTACAAGCCTCAATGCGTATCGGGAATGCTCAAATAGCAAGAACGATGAATGCCCTGAGCTTATACGGTAAGTAGTCCATGATCAACTACAATCAAAGAACACAGAAATAGTAGCAGCTCCCGTGAAGGTGATGATTCATCAGAATTCAGATGTTCTAATTCTATGGAGTCAGATAGAAGCTACCTCAAAGAGATGGACTTCTCCCGCTTGATGAGTCAATGAGATGGACTTGTTGAGGAAGAAGATCGTATCTGATACTCAGATCCTCAAACATTTTCTTCATCTCCAGGATCAGTTCGGTTCTCCGCCTATTTCTCTCTCCAGCATTTTGGAAGTTCATCGTGTGATTGAAAACCAAGGCCATCTTCATTTTATTCATACTCTCTATCTCCTTCACCACCATGTTGTGATTCGGATGCCAAAGTGGGGATTTTTCTAGATACCTGCATTGTGAGTGCATAATTATAGCCCCAAAAACTGTTATACTCTCATATAGTACTATATTTTCAAACAAATGAATTTTATCACCCAGAAACTAAAAGATAGGCTCAATCGAATATTACGGATTAATTATATTAGGTCTTATTGTGTTTATTCGGTGTACTGGACCTGGCCTGCTTGTATAGGTTTTGTATAGTTTACCTTAGATCAGGACTCTTGTATTATATATACCTCTTACTCATTAATAATAATCATCTATTCTCATTCTAATATGGTATCTAGAGCCAAACTCTAAAGAGCAAAATATCTTCTTCTTTTTCCAGCCGCTACTATCTCGATCGCCGCCCCCTACCCTTTAGGGTTTTACAGCCGCCGACGTTCGCTGCTACCCCTGCCGCCACCCATGGCACCTACGCCGGAATCCACCGTGATCAGTATCACGGCTTCTACTCACTTCCCTATTAAACTGACTTCCTCCAACTATCCTGTTTGGAAATCCCAGGTTTTTGCTGCTCTCATTGGACTTGGCCTGGAAGATTACGTTGACGGGCACGCTCACTCCACCCAACCGCCATCTCGATGTTGGCAAATCCACTCCAAATCCGGTATATCAAATATGGTACCGACAAGACAAGACTATACTCAGTGCTCTTTTGGGAAGTTGTCCCGACACTATTCAGCCGATTATTTCTTCGGCCAGCACAGCTAAAGAGGCGTGGGATCGTCTCTCTCAAACATATGCGGGTCTGTCTTGTGGCCGCATTATGTCCCTCAAATCTGCGTTTGCAAAAACAGTTAAAGGCACCAAATCCATCACTGAGTACCTTGCGAAGATGCAAGGCCTTGCTGAAGCATTAGCTCTCTCTCAAAACCCCATACCAGAAGAAGATCTTGTTATTGGCATTCTCAATGGCCTTGGTCCTGAGTATTCGGAGATTATAGCCGCGGTTCGTGTTCGTGAGACAGCCTTGCCATTACCGGCTCTTCAAGATATCCTCCTTGAACACGAAGCCAAACATGTTGCGCTGACTTCCACGCCGCTACTGCCCACGGCGAATTATACCTCCGAACAGCGAGGTTCCAGGGAGGCTCACGGCCAGCGCGACGCGGATCAACATGGTGATCGTCGCGGTGGTTATTCCGAACACCAAGGGCGTGGTCGCGGCTCGTACGCTGCAGGTGGTGGCCGTGGGTCATCCAGGCAGCAGCTCCAGTGCCATTTTTGTGAGAACATTGGCCATGATGTCAAGAACTGTCGTAAGCTTCAGCGGTTTCTTCGGAATCATAATGTGATTCCGCAACCCAGACCTCATGCTAACTTTGTCTCGATAACTCCACTATGCCGCATCAGCCCTGGCTTTTTGACAGCGGTGCATCTCACCATGTTACGTCTGATGTGTCTCAGTTGCTCACTTATTCTGAGTATGGCAGTCCAGAAGAGGTTAAGTTAGGGGATGGTAAGTCACATAATATTACTCATAAAGGTACCACTGTTTTATCTACCCCTACCTGTACACTTTCCCTATCCAATGTTTTATGTGTTCCCAAATTACAAAAGAACCTTGTCTATGTTGCTAAGCTTTGCAAAACTAACAATGTATCTGTTAGGGGATGGTAAGTCACTTAATGTTACTCATAAAGGTACCACTGTTTTATCTACCCCTACCCGTACACTTTCCCTATCCAATGTTTTATGTGTTCCCAAATTACAAAAGAACCTTGTCTCTGTTGCTAAGCTTTGCAAAACTAACAATGTATCTGTTGAATTTTTCCCTGATTTTTTTATTGTGAAGGATCGCATCACCGGGGCGCCACTGCTGCGCGAGGAGAACCAGCATGATGTCTACTATGCACCAGTGTCCTACTCACCTCATATCCATGTTACTCAGTCCAACTGGCACCACACCTTTGGTCATCCTTCGCGTCATATTTTGCTATCTTTATCTTCTATTTCAAACATTAAGTCTTCCGCTAGTTCTCATTGTATGTCTTGTTCAATTAATAAAAGTCATAAACTTCCTTTCTTTATTAATACGATGTCAACTAATAAACCCTTAGAATTAATTTATTCTGATGTATGGAGTTCCAGTGTTCTCTCGATTGATGGTTATTCTTATTATGTCATCTTTGTAGATCATTTTACTGGCTATATATGGCTCTATCCCTTACAACGAAAATCTAACGTTGCTACTATTTTTCCTCAGTTTCATCGTCTTGTAGAAAAATATTTTAATTATCGAATAATTAAATTTTTTTCTGACAATGGCGGTGAATTTATTAAATTACGTCCTTACCTAACACTCATGGTATTTCACACTTCACCACTCCACCCCATACCTCTGAGTATAATGGCTTAGTTGAACGCAGGCACCGGCATATTGTTGAAACCGGTCTGGCCTTACTTCATTATGCTGGTATGCCTGCTCAGTACTGGTCATATGCTTTTCTTATTGCTGTGTATCTCATAAATAGACTTCCTACGCCTGTTCTTCGTGGTGTCTCTCCCTACTATAAATTGCACAATATAGAGCCAAATTATTCCAAGCTTCAGCCTTTCGGCTGTCTGTGTTACCCTTGGCTTCGGCCGTACACCTCAAACAAATTGCAACCACGGTCTATTCCTTGTGCTTTCCTTGGTTACTCCCTCACCCAGTCTGCATTTTATTGTCTTGATCCCCCTTCTGGCCGTGTCTATGTTTCGCGTCATGTTAAGTTTGTCCCCACTATTTTTCCTTTCACCACCACTGGTGTGTCATCTTCTGTGCATAGTAGACCGCCTCAGCTGCTCTTCCCACGTCCAATGGAACCCAAATTTTTCTTCCCAACAGACCGTGACTCGCCACATAGCCATACATGTCCACCCCACCAGTTCACTTCCCTTTCAAACCTACTGCCCTCGTCGTCCACTACTACGACGGCTCCCGATGCGTCAACCACTACTCCTGATCCTACCACACTACCTGCACCCGATCCCACCACACTTCATGCACCCGATCCTCCAAATACTTCTCGTCCATCCCGAAACCGCAAACCTAACCCTAGATATTATAGTGGTGCTTTTGTGAATAATACTAATGTGCATCCCATTCCCCCTACACTTGAACCATCTTCCTTGAAAGTTGCTTTGCAGGATCCTAGGTGGAAGAAAGCTATGGATGAGGAATACCAGGCTATTCTAAGAAACCAGACGTGGGAGCTTGTTCCACCTGCCAATCATGTGCCTATCACCTGTCGTTGGATTTTTCAGGTCAAGCGTAACTCCGATGGTAATGTGGCTAGATTCAAGGCATGCCTGGTCGCCCGGGGTTTTCTCCAGCAACCTGGCCGTAACTACTCACAGACTTTAAGCCCTGTTTTTAAGCCCGCTACCTTACGGATTGTGCTCACTGTTGCTTTGTCTCGAGCTTGGCCCATCAGGCAACTGGATGTTACTAATGCCTTTTTACATGGCACATTGGAGGAGGAGGTGTATATGGTTCAGCCACCAGGGTTTGAGGATTTTAAACATCCCAAGCATCTGTGTCGTCTCAAAAAGGCCTTATACGGTCTCAAACAAGCCCCACGGGCTTGGTACTTGGCACTTTCCGGGTTTTTTATTCGCATGGGCTTTCGGCGTTCACACACGGACCATTCACTATTTATCTATCATCATGGGGATATTTTCATTTATTTCTTAGTCTATGTTGATGACATTGTGTTGACAGGTAGCTCTGACTCTGTGCTTGCTAAGTTCATATCTTCTCTCACCAAGGAGTTTTCGGTCAAGGATTTGGGCCCTCTTCATCATTTTCTTGGTTTTGAAGTTATCCCCACATCACATGGATTGGTTTACTATTATCGCAGCGTCAGTACATGGTCAACATTCTTGAGAGTCACGGCATGCTAGGCATCAAACCGGCAGCCACACCTATGCGCACCAGCAGCACTGGACCTGCCGGCACCAGCAGCTCGGCCGAAGCTTTTTCCGACGTCACAGCCTACCGGCGAGCTCCGGGTCACCTAGAATATCTATCGTTCACTCGGCCAGACATCTCTTTTGCGGTTAACCGTCTTTCTCAGTACATGCATTGCCCATCAACCGATCATTGGACAGCGGTTAAACGTATTTTTCGTTATCTCAAAGGTACATTGGATTTTGGCCTATATTTACATAAGTCTCAAGGTCTCCAGCTTACTGCTTTTTCTGACTCTGACTGGGGAGGTACAACTGATGATGGCAGATCCACTACTGCTTATGTTCTTTATCTCGGTCCCAATATTATATCTTGGAAGTCAGCCAAGCAAAAGAGTGTATCCTGTTCATCTACGGAGGCTGAATACCATGTCGTAGCCAATGCCAGTGTCGAGATTCTCTGGGTCAAGAATGTGTTACATGAGTTGGGTATCATTCTACCTTCGGTTCCTCGCCTTTACTGTAACAAACAGGGTGCTACATATGTTTGTGTTAATCCGGTCTTTCACTCTCGGATGAAACATCTTGCATTGGATTTCTTTTTTGTCAGGGAACTTATTCAGCGTGGCCAACTTTCAGTTTCTCATATTTCCACCAAGATTCAAATTGCAGACGCACTTACTAAACCACTGGGGCATCCGTTGTTTGAGCATTTTTGGTCCAAGCTTGGAGTGTCTAACGGCATCTCCATCTTGCGGGGGCGTATTACGGATTAATTATATTAGGTCTTATTGTGTTTATTCAGTGTACTGGGCCTGGCCTGCTTGTATAGGTTTTGTATAGTTTACCTTAGATCAGGACTCTTGTATTATATATACCTCTTACTCATTAATAATAATCATCTATTCTCATTCTAATATCGAAGACCTAAAATTGAAAGCTATCAATCTAAGACCTAAAATATCATTAACTTTATTTTTATTTTATTTTAAATATTTTGAATATATTTTAACTTTAGTAATCTAATGAACTTTTGTGAAGAAAAAATAATCAAACTTAGCAATAAAATAAATGAAATAAACCAAAATCTATGATATTTTAGGTATTTGATTTATGGTTTTCAATTGTTCAACCCCGTATCAATCATTTTATCTTTCAAAAGTCTTGCATGTATAATTTATCGATTTTTCAGGTCCTTTGGGCTCTGTATCGGCCACATTATCTTTCAAATCCTGAATTGATAATTAATTTATCCTTCAAGTTCTGGATTGATAAAGCTCCATAAAAATGTGGCCATTTCTAGACTATTCCTCCTTTCAGTTCATTTTTTAGTAAGGAACCCAAATCTTAATAAGATCAAGGATCAAATTCGAACAACAATAGCTCACAAACAATCACGTAATGTATTCTAGCTATTCAGAAGAGAGATAAATATTGTAAATCAACATCTTAAACTGATTTTGCTGGTTAACCCTAGCTGTAGTGTTAATTAAAGGCAAATAGTAAAACGCTGAAAATGTTAACTTACTTCTTTACTTTTTCATTTAGAGCTCCGATCTTCTCCACATGCGTATGGAAATCAACGGAAAACTCGAAGGTATCGCTCATATCAGGACTTCTCTTAAAATTGCTGATGGGCTTATTAGCCAAAACCGAATTCGGATAGTATATCTTCTCATTGTCATATCTCAAGAAAATAGTAGTCAAGATATTCATTTCTTCAACAATCATCTGCAAAAATTCCAAGGCACCATATATGCGTAAATAAATATATTCTGAAAATATCCATACAATATGGAGTTAATTGCATCTACCACCCTCAGGGTTTGGTCGAACGGCCAATTAGCCCTTGATGTAACTAACCACCAATTCAATTACCTGAACACCATCCACAACACAACGATCACCAACATCAAAAGGATGCACCACAAACACAAAAACAATGGCTTCAAAAACAGTCTTGCAAGTGTTCCCGAACATAAATACTGCCACAACAAGTTGGGATGAGAGAAAGACAATCACTTTGGTTGTTGCAATCCCGACTAACAGAAGCCATATGACAATTATCACAACTATTAGAATCCCGGTGACGAGCTTGTTCAATTGTCTCACAGCTGTTTTTGTGTCGTTTAAAGCATGGGATAGTGTTTTGCGGTCCTTATAAATCTTCACCTGCAATGTAAGGCTTCTCTCTTAAATAATACTCCGTAATAATATTGACAACAATTTATCTTGGAAAACAAAACATACCCAAATCCATCCATTTCATATGCGAAAAAACATGTCAACATTGACTAAGTTCACCAATCTCAAAGAGAGAATGAATTATGTGAGTATGAATCTACACAATAGACTACTTGAGCTGAAAGTATTAATTATAATCACTGACAAAAGCCAAATAAAGAAACTAAGCCAACTAATCACATACCACCCACTCTGTCAAAGTCTTCATGTCAATTTCTCTGGTATCTGCCACATCTATCATTGGTAAAACCATATCAACCTCTTCTTTAATCAAGAATCTCCTTAAGTCGAACTCATCAATGTACCTTAACAAATGGTACCAATTGTGCAATTTCTTTTCAGCCCGGGAGTAAGTTGTTATTTTAATAATATTGAAGTATAAAGTTTGACCCACAAAATAGAACATAAAAACTATTTCAGGCGAAAACAGGAAGTCATTTACCACAAACTTCAGAAAGTGACAAATAATTTTCCTCCAAGAGAATAATTTCAGATGCTAAACACAGGAAGACCTCTCACGGAAAATATTTTCATGTGCCAAATGCAGGAACATACACAAAGTACTTCCCTACAAAATCTAGAAAATATTGTGCAAGGAAATTCCAGCAAATCCTTTTCCTTTCCAGGGAAAAAACTGTGTCAAAGGTAAAGCATGTGCACAAATCCTAGAAAATCTTCGTGATAAAGCATGTGTGGGCAGATCATATCTTACTTGGAACCAGGCTGTGCAACATTCCTGAAGATGTGATAAGCAGCGGCAATTGCTTCCTCCTCATTAGTGATCTCAATATCCGTTTGTTCAAACTCTCCTCCAAATGTACCTTCATCTAACGAGCCAGAGATAGTGGACAGCCCCGTATTAGATATCACATCGACCAACATCTTCATAGTCCATGCAGACACTTTCTCTCGCTTCATCTGGTGAAGCTTATTAATATCAATTACCTCTCTTTCCTTCCTCATATTGTCCTTCCCGTCTTTTCCCTTCTTCGCCCTGTGGAAACTGAGCTGACTCACATTGCTGTTTGTTCTTCCTAACATCTCTGCTGACTCCATAACCGGGTTACCCGATAGGGTCAACAAAATGTACTGATGAAAAAACGAGAGTTGGATTCTGTCAAAAAACGCATTCACGTGAAAAGATGATGCTAATATCTTGAGCAATAGAGTTTTCAGTAACCACAGACATGCCCCTATAAGCAACGAAACTATAGTCCATGTAATGTCATCCAAGACTCTGTCGGCCAAACGCGACCTCCGATTCCCGCTCGCGAAGAGTGATAACCACGTCACAAGGACTAAACTAATCCATAGGCAGACACGAACACTCTTCTTCAAACTATACACAAAGTACAACACCCTCTTCCGTAACAAGAAGTTGAGCTCAACCAATAAGGCAATGAAATGTATGAACCACTTAGTGACCAATAGCCCGTTCAATGTTACCATAAAAAGCGTAATCCACTTCCATACCTCCAAATCCAAAAGTTTCCAACTTCGGAGCTTATCAACCTTTACACTAGCAACCAAACACCCTACAATGCAAAGTAATAATGACCATTCACTTAAAACTCTCACCTTCACTTTCCTAAGCCTCAAATTTTCCCTCACTTTCACTTTCTTATAAATCTCCTCGTGCTCATCATCTCCTTCCAAACCACCCGGTGACGCCATTAGCGGTGTCTTGGGGGTAATGCTCACTGAGATGGCCCTTCTAGTCTCTCTCTGTGTATTACAAATGGTATCGGGGTCCAGTTTATAATTAGGCGAAGCACAGATAGATGCTTCACTTTGATCATCAAACATGTTGTGATCAATGGGTATCGACTGTTCACCAAATCTTGATTTCGGTTTTGAGTAAACTGATCTTGAGAGTGATTTTCGCCTAATGAGAGTGTTGAAAGTGGACGGTGGTTTTGGAGGCTTATTTGCAGTTGGGCTGAATGCGATCTCAGGTGAATCAATTGATGCATGGGGTGAACCAGATGAAGGTTTAGTCTTAGGATGATCCTTCAAACCATCACCACCAGAGATCATAACAACCACCTGATCGTTTGGACCTTTACCGTTTGCATCCATCACAATCCAATGGCAACAAATACCTAACATCATCCCAATGAAATGAAATATTAAGTGCAAGGGTAAATGAATTTTTTCCCACTCTGGATAGTCAGGGTGGAAGTGTCATCACTATCAATTAAAGAAAATCAAAGAAGTTAAACAAGACAACAACATATAAGGCCAGAGCATGAGTCTCAACCTTATACCTTAACAAATATGGTTATGAATTTCATCACTTATATGGTGGGAGCTTGGTGATATGTGAGTAAATTGTAGATGTGTGATACTTTATCAGTCATCACCAAGTAGTTAGGGATGGCACCAGGAAATTAATAGATTCGATTAATTGTCTAAAAAATGAGTAATACGATCATAACATGGAATTCCAAAGCGACAATGGGTTGAGATAAGTGTTAAAGACTGATAGTCGTGTCTCATTACCACAATGATGTTGCCAAGTAAACATTCAAATCATGAAAAATTGAAGTTCAGAATGTACGTTCAAGGGCAGAAACGGGTTTTATACAAATTGTAAAAAGTTAGAGGTGATAACACCTATTGTTTGACTGTTATTATGTTGTAAAAAAACTGTTCAAAGAAGAGAACTATGGTAAAAAATCACACACTTTTTATGGTGTCCATACATGTTGGAGAAAATTCCAATACATACTGGTAGTGAATAACATGACCAACAAGCCATTCCACAGCTTTGGGGATATGATTATCTGTGCAGCATTATGAAATAGGGATGAATTAATTGGGAATGAATGAATGAGAGGGAATAGGGGTGGGGTATAGGAGAAACTGGATGAGTTCCTATGAACCTGGATTGGGCCATTGGCTAAACAAGAATGGAATTGCTCCTTTTATATTCTTAATAGTGATGGGTCTGATCATTCCTCCATTTTACTTACTCAGACCACCTTTAATAAGAATTTCAGAAGATCATCGTTCAGGTTCTGAATTGCTAGAATTCTCACAATCAGTTTATGAATTTTGTGAAGGAAGATTGGTCACAACCACTGATTCCATACTCAAGATGGTTATATCGACTAGTGAAGAATTTGAGAATATCCTTCGAAAGAAATTGCTCAAAATAGGAGTAAGACGTGGACAAAGTAAAAAAAGTAGAACTAAGTATCTTTTATTCCCAAAATTATTCCCAAAATATTATTTATAAATCCTATATGAGTTGAAGAGTCCTATTTTGGGAAGAAAACAATGGCACTCATGTTTTAGGAAATGTGCTACGCTTTACTTCTACTTAGGGAATCTTCTCTATCCTTCATCATCAGCATCCTAAGTAGCACGGAAACGAGAAACGGGAAACGAGAAACGGGAACGTCAGAAAAGCCATTTTTCAAAAATACACGAAACGAAACGTGGGGGAAACGCGTAAATATAAAAATTATAGGGGTTATTTTATAAATATTACTCCCTCCGTCCCATAAAATAAGTCCCATTTTCCTTTTTGGGCCGTCCCAAAAAATTGTTCCCATTTCCCTTTTTGGAAAGTTTTGTGTGGCTAACATTCGTTTACCTTTTTCTTACTCAACCACAACCATACATTTCCACTTTATTCCCACTTTCTTAAACTCCGATCCATATTGAAATAGGACTTATTTTATGGGACGGAGGGAGTATATATGTATGTGTGTATATATACACATACAAACATTCCACTAGAAAATAAAAAAAATCTATATTGTAGAATGACATGCACAATTAAAGATGATTTAATAATTCAACAAATAAACAATAAGCACAGTAATAACTAAACAATGCCCATAAATAAATAATAGTGCTGCTTTAATTCACCTAAATAATACGGAGTAAAGTAAAACTGCCCAGTATCATCATAAGAAAATGGCTCCTTAGTAGTGGAACACATATCATCCATCATCATCACTTCTATGCCCACTTATACAATATCAGACATCCACAATTAAATATAGGGATATGAGAAGTGAGAAGCGAGAAGTAAGAGGCAGGGAAGAGCAAAGGTAAAGCGACCGGTTTGCAGAAGCAGGGGAACGATTTAAGAATCTACCGTAAATTGCTGAAGACGGCGACCTGCTCACCCAGATGCTTTGAAGCCGATGAAGTGCCGATCAAGACTAGGGTTGAACCGTTGAAGACAAGAGGTTTAATCAATTAATCCCACTAAACCCTTTCTCAAATTCTATTTTTTGGGGGAAACGCGTTTCCAACTTCCCTGAAATTAAAAACGACCCCGACACGTGTATTAGACGTTTCTCAATGCATACGTTTCCGGTACGGGGAAACTCACCCCTCCCGACATTTCCATGCGTTATAGTCATCCTCATCATCATCATTACCCCGCAAAGGCTAGATTTAAAAAATTGTAAAGAGGCTAGAGTAGATTTGCATGAACAATAAGGCCCCTCAACATAAGTAATCTCCACCAAGCCTATTCCATATTAAATTTCCATCCTGCAAATGAAGAACAATTGTGGAAGCAGAAAGCTGGCAATAAATGGAGCCTAGGTAGAAATAAAAATACTGCCTTCTTCCATGAATTGGTCAAAGGTTCCAGAGATAAAATCAGATATTAGTGGAATCTTTACCAATGATGGGGGGTTCGTTTGGACTAGTGTCGAACAAACGATCCAGAAGAGTGGCATTGAGTTCTTCCAAACAATGTTTACGCCCCAGGAGGATCTCCACAAAAGGCTAAATACAGGACTGATGTTGACAGCCAGGAACTACCTTCACATTATCATGGAGTTGCAATATTTAGAGCGTATTCTTGTGATTAGATGCTGAACAAGATCAAAGTTAAATTGATAGAGCTTGGGAGGGTCAAAGTTAGAGATCATAATGGAATAATTCTTCTTGACTGCTGTAAACAAATTCAGAAAGTGCAGTATTAGAATGGCTGAAGCTAATGACTTTCTGAAAGGGTTGCAATAATATCATCCTGGAACCAGACTCTATAAATGCTAATAATTGGATTAGCTGCATTACTGCAAACAGAAGGAAAGAAATTGGCTAGTGAAAAGAGTTACTCAAAGACAACGGGAAAAAATATGGATTTAAAAAAATTCGACCACCGTTCTTTGGAGGGGTATATATGGATGGCCTTACGCCTTGGTTGATTGATTCTATGTCTCCCTCCTTAATAAAACTTCTCAAGGCATGTTATCACTTACCTTACCACCACCTATTTGGGGTGGTTCGTGTCAGGGTATCTATACAGAAATTTAAATTCAATGTAATGAATAAAGGAAGTGGGGTATGAAAAGAGAAAATGAAAGGACAGTTATACATTTGTACCTTTACCCATCCCCACATACTGTATGTACTATCTCTCACATTTATTTTAATCTTAGGGAAACAAAAAAGTTCAAAATCTGAATATCTAACCTAAAAAGACAAGGTGGCCGGCCACTTACACCAGAATTGAAACTTAAGAAAAATTTTACCACTAATTTTTCATCACTTGTGTAAAGATTCAATCTTGTACGGGGAGATGTTAGAGCCAGTTAATCTGATTTACACAAGATGCAATCTTTTGGCGTTCCTCGAAGAAAATAGCACCAAAAGTGTATTGTTGATAATATTCACATTAAAGTAAATCCATAAGTCAACAGAATCTGAGCAGCAAAAATGGCATATCAAGAACAGAGACAAGAACCATAGACAATGCTAAACCTTAACAAAAATAACAAAAATAACTTTAACTTTAATATTCACAAGTTAAAGCTAAAGGTCAGAGGTGGAAGAAAATAGCTGCTATAAGAAATTACAAAACTAAAAAATAAGAATGAAAAGATGGAAGATAAATAAATAAAGAAAGAATGTAACCAAAAAAAGAAAGAAACAAAGAACTTTGACAGTACCTGTTTGTTTGTGTAAGATTTGATGAAGGTGTTTTCAGAGACGGTGAGGTGGCGCAGTTGTTTAAAGGAAGGCTTGAAAGGGAAAGAGACCTTTAACATTTACCTCTTGTTTTCATATATTCCGTTTACGATTGCATTTACACAAAAAGTTTCTGGTTTCAAAATTAGATTCTCACCTGCGATATACAGGACAAAATACAATATAAACATATAAAAAAATTATATCAACGTAATAATTACAAAAAGAGTGAAGAGATCCAAGCTATATAGTACTATCTCCATCTCAAAAAACTTTGTCATTTTCAAAACTTTGACCAACTATATCTTTTTATTGGAAACTATTTATAATATAAAAATTATATGATAAAGTTCTTTGTTAAAAGTGCTTTTATAAAAGTATAAATTTTTTAATTTCCATAATATTATACTAATCAAAATTAAGCTTCAAATTTTATGAAATGACAAAGTTTTTTAGGACGGAGGTAGTAATATTCTATATGCGCAATATGAAATAGTTAAAGAAGAGTAAGAGCCCGTTTGGTAGCACGAAAATCGGCTATTTTGGCTGATTCTGCTGAAATTTTTGAATTTCTGGCTGAAGTGGTTGTTTTGGCTGATTCTGCTGATTCAAGAAAAAAATATTTTAAAAATATATTTTATTAATAAATTAAAGAAAAAATTACATGTAAAAATAGCTAAAATGGTCTTCTGCAGTAACTTCAGCCAATACAGCCAGAAAAGTAACTCCAACCTTACTTTTTCTGCTTATTACACAATTCAGCACACGAAAGTAAAAGTTACGTGTTTGGTGAAAAAGCTGGCTGATAAGCCTGATAAGCCGAAAAAAAAGGTCTCCAAAGGCACACAAAATGTAACCACTACATCGAAGGAACAAAATTAGACCTGAACAAAACCGGACCGGCCCGCCCAGCCCGCCCGCACAAATGAGCGGGCTTGGGCATATATATTTACCCACCGGGCCGGCCCGAGCCCAGCCCGCAATAAGATATGGGCGGGCTTGGGTTAGGGTGTAGGCCCGTTCGGGCCGATAAGCCCGGCCCGCTACATTTAGTATATATAAATATATATATTTATATATGTATACTAATTTATTTATTTATTTGCATATACACATGTATATTTATATTTACTAATTTTTATTTATACATATTCATAGTTTATTATGTTTAAATTTAAATTTTTAGTTCTTAACAACTAGCTCAACCAATATAATATCTATTTTTGTACTTAAAGATAATACTTTGTGCATAAATTTTAGATATAGTTTCTCATTATTATTTTGGTGTAAGTATTTTTTTTTTGTATGTGGTGAAAGACGTATAAACATTATAAGCGTATTAATTATTTTTTAAATGTTGTAATATTATTTTTAAAGTATTTAAAAAATCATATAATTTTGAAAAAATTAAAGTTTTCCTGGGCCGGGCGGCCCAATGGACTACCCGACCCGCTCTTATGGGCGGGTATGGACATAGGGTTAGGCCCGTTTTTGCGGGCCAGGCCGGGCCTGCCCACACATGATGGGCATAAAATTTATAAAAAGCCCGGCCCGAGCCCGGTCCGAACCCGTTTTTGTACAGGTCTAAACAAAATACAAATTTTGAAGCACTTCTTTACAAACAACATTAGTAGTATTATGAATATTGTACTTTAAAACATTTATTATTGATAACTCTTGACACTGCAACACAAAGTTGACCACGAGTAAATACTGTTTAATAGTAGTCCAACATGCAACAAAGACTGACTTTGACATGTGTTTATTGTCATTGCATAAGAGCCTCATTGCATAAGAGCGTCACGATAAAAAAAGATCTTCTTTGAAACTTGAAATGTATTCTCACATCGAAAGAAATAAGTGTTAATCGTGGAATAAGTACTTTTTGACCATTACATTACCTAATCAGTAAAATTATTATAAGTGAATACACTAAATATAATAATAAATTAATAATAATAATAATAATAATAATAAGTGCACCTTCAACTGCATTACCCTGTGACAGAATTACATGTTCACAGTTCCACACTGTATATCCTTTAAAATAGATATAGTTTCATTCAATAGTATATAAGTGTAATTATAAATAAATAGCTATTTTAATGAAATTATTACAAAAATGTACAAAACATACAAAATTGATTACTACCTCTATCCCGAAAAAGTTCGTCATATTGACTTTTCTTGATCAATGATGACAAATTTTGGACAATGATTTTAATTATTATATTTGTATATAATTATATAAGGTTAAATTTTATCGAACATCAATTAGGTCTGCTTTAATGTATGGCGTAGAGTGTTGGGCAGTGAAGCAATGCCACATTCAAAAGATGAGTGTGGCAGAGATGCGTATGTTGCGTTGGATGTGTGGGCATACCAGAAAAGACCATTTGAGGAATGAGATAATGAGACAAAAGGTGGGAGTAGCACCTATAGAAGATAAGATGCAGGAGTCTCGCTTGCGGTGGTTTGGGCATGTGCGTAGAAGACCGAATGATGCACCTATTAGATGACTTGAGGGGTGGGGAGAAGAGGCAGAGAAGAGAGGGAGGGGAAGACCCAAACAGACTTGGATTAGAGAAGATGCGTCTTCTTGGGTTGGATGAGAGTATGACCTTGGAGAAAGCAAAGTGGAGGGCGCACATCCGTGTGGACGATTGATGTTTTTTCTACCTTTCCTCTCTTTTTTCTTTTTCTTTTATCGTTTATCTTCTTTATCTTCACATATTCTTATGTTATTTTTATATTCTAGCTTTTATGCTCTTTTTTATCTTTTATCTTTCTTATATTATTGTGTTATTGTTATCTTATATTTATTTATCTTTATTTTATTCGCTTTATCTTACTTTTTTCCCCTTTCTTGTCCGTGTTCTCTGTTTGGCATCGATATCATTGATCGATTCATGTTAGCCGACCCCAAATTCTTTTGGGATTAAGACTTGGATGTTGTTGTTGGTGTATTTGTATATAATTATATAAATTTTATACTTTTATGAAAATATTTTGAATAAGAAACATTTTGATATAATTATTATATTCAAAATAACTTCATATTAAAAAATATCATCGGTCAAAATGGATTAACATTGACCAAGAAAAATCAATTTGACGAACCTTTTTGAGACGGAGGGAGTAATATAAATGCAATAAGATTAGGAATTTTATCAATTCAGGACCCGAAAAATAGATTAATTATCAATTCGGGACCTGAAAGATAAAATTCATCAATATAGGACCCGAATGATGAAAAATTATCAATTTAGGACCTGAATGATTGAAAACTATTAATCTAGGACCTAAGTTGTCATATTTTTTTATTAAAAATTTTTAAATATTATTTCGTTTTATTAAACTAATAAACTTTTGTGAAGAAAAGTTTATCAAAAATTAGTAATGGAATTAATAAAAAATTAAATAAATCAAAACCTATGAAACGTTAGGTCCTAAATTGATAGTTTTTCATCATTCGGGTCCTATACTGATACGTTTCATCTTTCGGGGCCTGAATTGATAATTAATCTATCTTTCGGGTCCTGAATTAATAAATTTCCTAAGATTAATAATGTAATACTGAAAAGATTTACAAAAAAAGATTTGAATTTATCAGTTTCTCATACATTTTTGGGATCATTTTTTGTTAAAAAAAATAAACATTTTAACTTCAAGATGGTCAACCCATTTAAATTCGGATAAACCAAACACAATAACACATTTTAATCTTCCAACCCACAATCCAAATACCCAAATAGGAAACCCTAACTATATAAACTCTGTATACCCAAACTCCACCTTTAACCGACTTCGCTCTAGAACCGAACCTGCGGAGACATCACTACAAAAAAACTCGCCCTTTGTCACGGATTTTGTCACGGACCGTAGTTCAAAAAATCCGTGACAATTAATTTTTGTCACGGATTTGTCACGGATTTTTTCCGTGACACGGGCGTGATAACGTTTTTGTCACGGAATTTAATCCGTGAGACCGTTTGTCACGGATTTATCACGGCCACCGTCCGTGACAAAACACTTCACCGGAACTCCATCGCCTTTTATTTGTCACGGCCACATCCGTGAATAAGTTATTTTAGTTTTCAAAAAATAATAATTATTTGTCACGAAAATATCCGTGATAAATTTAAAAAAAAGGTTTTCGAAATAGAGTGGGCGGGTATTTGAAACGATCTGAAAAATTCAAATTTTTAATTTTGTCACGGACATATCCGTGACAAAAGATTTTGAAAAAATTTTGAAAAATTTCGAAACGGGTGGGTGGGTACTTTAAAAATTTCAAAATTTTGAACTTGT